GCAACACGGCCTGAAAGGCCAGGGGGCGCTGGGCGAACGAATCTGACCACTCAGCTGTGCTCTGGCGCTGCGCACTGAATCCAGCACGTCCGACACATTAACCCTTTCGAAACCCCGCGCGAACAGCGGCCGGGCCACGTGCCGTTCCATCCGCGGCTGTTGCAGTACGCGCTCTGCAGGGGGCCATCGACAGGGCGGCAAGCGTCGCAGTGGTAGGGCCCTGCACTGCTGCGGGAGGCGGGCCAAGAGTCAGCCGGGCATGCCGCACAGCGCGGAGGGCCAACAGAGTCGAAATCGAATTCGACCGAGGGGCGGGCGGAAGCCTTGGACGACTCTCGATCGCCCAAGCGCTGGCGCCGATCAGCACGTCCTCCTGCTCCAACCGCCACTGCCTCCTCGAAAGAATTTCCTGTCCTGCGCGTGGAGATGAAGGAATTGAGGCCACCTCCGGTCTCGTGGCCTCTGCTCGAGCTCGCACCATGTAGAACGCCAAACACTGCAACTGGTTGTCGGAGGGGCTATCTTCCGTCGGGCCTGTCCCCCCACAGGCGGATTTTTGGACGAAAACTAAACCATAGCTAAACATGTTCAAACATAGTCGACAAATAATAAAAACATCGTCCCCCGATTTCTTCAACTCCTCCCTACTCCCTCCTCCTCCTCCTCCCTCCTGAGCTGCCCGAGGCGCGAGAGGTGCAGCTCGAGCCTCGCGGTACCGCTCGGGGTGTTGTGGCCAGGCTCCCCCGCTGGACTCTCTCCCCCGCGGCTGGCCGGCGTCCTGATCCTAAAATTTGGAGGCCCGAGACGGTGCGTTGACAGCCCGTGCGATGACCTCGAAATCCCCCAAGACCTCACCGCACGGTCCGTCAACGCACGGTCTCGCAACCCTGGAGGCCCCAGTCGCCCGAGACATCCTCGGAGAACGACCCGCGTCCCAAGACCGTGCGGTGACCCCGAATCCCCACCGACTCACCACACGGTGTGTTCACCACCCCGTCTGGGGGCCCCCGAGTCCTGGTCCGTAAAAGTCCTGGTGAGAGACTCGGAGCGGGAGCGGGGCCGTGCCATCGGGTAGGCGCAGGGACTGGCGAATGGTCTACAGGGGGATTTTGGACGAAACGTGAACAAATAGCCGAATCAGAGTCAAACATGGTCAACTAATATTAGAACAATCGTCCCCAGACGTTTTTGTTTGACTACTTTGGAATATTCTTCCTCTGGAGGGACAGGCCCGACTTAAAGAATGGTCAGCAGCAAAGCCAGCACGATGTCTGCTGGCGGGCCCTTTCTTCCCTGCAGCGCGGGCAGACAAAATGAGGGGGGGCGGGGGGCGACCCATCGAAGAAGAGGCCGACATGCGAGGGGAATCCCGCGTTGACCTGGCCACGGTGCGGTCGCTGCTGCCATGCGCGGGCTGCGCATGGTTCGCCGAGGTGGCGCCCGTGGGCTCAAGCCGGCTGGCAGTGTGAGCCGAAGGGGGCAACACAACTGCGGCTACGTCTCGGACCTGATGAAACGAGGAGGGAGAGGGGGAGAGGAGGATGATGAGGCTGAGGGGGGGAGGCAGAGAGAGAGAGAGAGAGAGAGCGAGAAAGAGAGAGAGAGAGAGAGGCAGGAGAGATGAGGCGTGTTGCCGTGCATCACACTCCTGCGCCTCCTCGGGTGGCCGTCGTCACCTGGGCTGGATCCACCTCGAGATTTTTGACGGGAAAGAGCCAGGGCCCGTTTATAACCGAGGAGGAGGAGGACGCGACGAGGACGAGGCCGTGGGCCTGCGTGAGCCCAGGCTGCGCCAGTGATGCAGCAGCACGCCCTCTCGCCCCGAGTCCCCTTCTCACGACTCCCTGCGAGCACTCCCTCCGATGCGGGACAGGCCCTCTTGCCGCGCCGACGCCCCGCGGGCCTGCGATTCGAGAGGCGCTCCGTTTTGTCATGGATCCGCCTTCCATCCGTCTGCCTGGAGGAGCGGCCTACTCTGTAAGAACGGTTTTTTGAAGGCAAATCTGCCTTCAAAGACTGGTCTACTCTGTAAGAACGGTTTTTTGAAGGCAGATCTGCCTTCAAACAACCGTTCTTTTTGAAGGCAGATCTGCCTGCAAAAAACCGTTCTTACAGAGTAGATCTGCCTGGAAGAGCGGCAGGGTGCTCGGGCTGTGAGGAAAACCAAGGAAGTGTCTGGTGATAACTCTGGTTTGAGCAAGATGCCAGGGTATGCCTGGCCACGATACCAGAAGCGCTGCACGCGCTCAGAAGAACTGTCACACAGCTCGAGGAGGTCTCAAGCGAGAGCCCCATTATTTCAACTGAAATGCCCTCCATCCGTGTACCTGTCCAAAGATGTTGAACTTCGGGCCTCACCAAGGCCGCGCTGACGGCGATGTTGGTGAACGGCGATGTTGTGAATCCGACTTTCGTGACGCCGAGCTCGCGCAGAACAAATGGTAGGAAATCACGATACACCGTTTCCTACATTTCAAACATGCGAATGTATCGAACGAAAGCGACACAGCGAGTTGCAGGACAGCACGAACGACGCGTTCCTACAATTGGTTTGGCCACGTGCAATGCTTTCCTAGAAATGGTTTTCCTACATCACTACGGCATCACGCTTGAATGCCCCCCTTCGGTACAGCAGCCATCCCCGATCCAAGCAGATGCTGGGCTTCGAGAGCGAGTGTGAGCGGCACCAAGGCGAGAACCCCATGTTGGAAACGAAGCGGCCCCCTGTTGGATTTCTCAAGACGAGCGCAGGCGGCTCACAGGCGAGAGCCCCATGTTAACACACAGTCTGCGCTCCACACCCGTGTCACTGTTCTTCTCGACAGACGCGTGTGCGCGGCGCCAAGGCGAGAGCCCCATCTTGCAAAACCGCCTGCGTTCCATCCATCCGTGTCAGGGTTGGAAGTGTCAACGCTCGGAATCACAGATTGGGAGAACATCGCGGGCGAAGCGCCGGGCCCCCCCCTAACGACACGTCTGGTAGTGCGACTGGGAAGACTTGTCTGTAAGGGTTGAGCGATCAAGGAGTTGCAGAAGCGAGAGGAGCGAGAGATGAGGGCCTGGAACCCCTCGAGGGGGCCTCCTGGAAACAGGCACGGCACTCTCAAAGGAAAGAAGGGGGGCGCTCTAATTGGCCCCTCCCAGGCCCCACACCTCCCCAGGAACCGGTGTCTCGTCGCGGGCAAACTTCCGGATCGCCTAAGGCCCTGAAACGGACCTCCAAAGGACGAGAATCCACGAGGAACGGTGGTCGCCTCTGCCCCCGCGACGCGGGGAACCCGGCGCCCCACCCACCCCTCAGGTGGAACGACAAGGGGGGACCTGCTCAGGGAGGGGGGGGGTAGGGAACATCGAGCTGGAATCGGCGACGCATCGCCCCTGCATCGGCGATGGGCCCCCGACGGCAAACCTGCACGTTCCTGGGCGGGGTAGGCTATCGGGCCCCTATGGGCGAGGAGTGGGCGGTTGGCAGCCCATGCCTCCCCCCCTGGGCCCCCGCCCCCCTTGACGTTGCCCCCGACACCCGCCCCAGGACCGAACCTCCCCGACCCCTCCCCGTGTGCGCCCCGCCGCCCAGGACCTCGAGGCACCCCCAGCCGAGGCCACGAGGGCTCCCCCCCTCGGGCCCCCGCCGGCCATGCCCGCGGCCAGAGAGAGGCCTCCCAAATGGCGTCCGAGGAGCTGGGGTCGGAGGATCGCGCCTACATCGGCGATGCATCGGCGACGTCGGCGATGCATCGGCGCCGCCGGCGTGGAGAAAAAATCGGACTCCACATCGAGCGGTATCGCCAATGCATCGGCGATGTGGCGCGATCCTCCAACCACATCTCGGGCGTTGCCTCACAGGTTGGCGACAACGTGGGTGGGGGGTCGAGAGAAGCGTGCACCCTTCGTGCCCCTTTAGAGCCCCAGAGGGCCCCTAGAGGGCCCCTAAGATGAGGTCGGGCATGTCCCCCCTGCAGGCGGATTATGGAGGAAAAATTACAACAAAAATGATTTAAACAAATACTAGGAAAATCGTCCCCATACAATTGTTGGACTATTTTTGAACATCTCTCCTGGAGATGGACAGGCCCGACTGGACCCTAAGGTACACCTGTCTCCCCTCCCCTCAGTGATCGCCCCCCCCGCCCGTACGCAACGCCCGACCATCTCAGAGGCTCAGAATGCTGCCAGCACTTCGGCGGCGACGACGGGGGTGAACAGCCCAGGGGCGGGTATTACAGGCATTCGCCCGGGAGCCATGTCGAAGACATAGATCATCGGAACCCCTGGACACATGTACTGCTTCCCCCTGGGCTATTCGCCCCCATCGTCGCCTCCGAGCACTGCGCCGCTGCCCAGCCACTCCCGGGGCGACCGGCGCCGTCCACTGCAGCTTCTGCATCTCCGCGCGGTCCAGGCAGCCGCCGCACAGCGCGCGCAGCGCCTCCCACGAATCCGCGGGGGGCCCCGTCGAGGAGCCTGGGCCTCGGGAGTGCGCCGCTCGGCGGCGGCGCTCGGCGACGACTGCGGCGGCGACCCGCGGCGGCGGGCGGCGGCGGACGACGGCGGCCGCGAAGACGTCGACGAGGAACCCCCCTGGACGCCCCTCAGAAAAGGACCACGCTGACCAGCACCCGCAAATGGGAGGAGGAGAAGAAGGAGGAGGAGGAGGAGGAAGGAGGAGGGGCCGCGCGGCGCTTACCGCGCGCGTCACGTCTCTTCTCTCGCTGATTGAAGCGGACTCGCAATGACGCAATGACTGTTTCAAGAAAAGTACGTCCAGTTTGGGTGCTGGTCGGAGGAACGAACAGAGCTGGATGACAGGGCCTGCTCGAGATTCGCTCACCGTAGCAATCTTGCCAACAGGGCCGCAGGGCCTGCCTGAACGGAGCTCGTCGTAGAAGGAATTCCGACCAGCTTCCCACCCGCTCCAAAGACGCAGTGATCCCCCGCCCCCCCCCCCTCCCCCAGCCCTCACGAGCCCGCCTGTCCGCGCTGCCGCGCTGTGCGGGTCGGCCCGCGCGCGCAGCGCAGGGGAAATCGCAGCGAGGCCGGGGGGGGGGAGGTCCCACGCGGCGGCAGGCCGGCGGGCCAACGGGAGGGGGGGTGGCCGGGGGACGACAGGAAGGGCGAGGATGACGAGGCCAAGGATGAGGGAGGTGGGGGGGGGAACCAGGATGAGGGAAGCGGGAAGGAGTTGGGAGGGGAGAGGGACGTCAGCGACGTCGCCCCACGCGGTGTAAATACAATCTGCTCCGCAGGTGCTGGACCTCCTACCGCAAGCACGGTGCACGATCGCATCCCACATCGACCTGCCCGCGCCGCTTCCCGATCTGTAAGGAAGCTGGTGAACACAGCTGTCAAAGCAGAAGGCACAACAAAACTCTGCTGCAATCCGCGTTGCCCGCGCAACGTGAGGGCGCCGTACTGACATAGAGATAGAGATAGAGGAGGGGAGGAGGAGGAGGAGGAGGAGGAGGAGGAGGAGGAGGAGGAGGAAGAGGAGGAGGAGGAGGAGGAGGAGGAGGAAAAGGAGGAGATGTGGGGCTTCGACCATCTGCCCTGAACGCGAGAAAGGAGGCAGAGGCAGAGGCGGCGCAACTGGACCGCGTGCGCGCCTGAGGCCTTGGGTGACAGAAACCAGTTCAGCTCTCGGCACCGTCTGCTTCCAACAGTCAGCTGGGCCGTGTGCCCAAGCAGCGGGGTCCCACCCGTGCCTGATTGCGAAACCCCATCCACACCTACGGAGGCGATCGTCCTCCGCGTGCTTGCCTCCAGCACCGTCCGAGGCTGTGCCATAACAAAAAAACATCCAGCTGCGCCTGACTACAATTCGCGAGCCCTCCAGGCACTCTGGTCTAGTCCAGGTCGGGCGGCAGGGGCGGCAGGGCCCAGACTGTCTGAGAATCGGGGTCCTCGCGCAGGTCAGCGCTCTTCTCGGGCAGGCCCAGCCAGGCCAGCTCATCCTCCTCCTGCTGCTCCCCCAGCGTATCCTCGAAACTGATGCTCATCTCCGCCTCCTCCGTTCGCTCATGCTTCCTCGGTTCCTGCTTCTCCTGCAGAAGAGGGGCATGGGGCGGGCGGGGCGGTGAAGGTGGGTCAAGCTGGGGAGGCCTGGCGGCCTCATCTCCAAATCGCCGACTCGCTGGCCAAAGTGCTCCCGCCATCACCATACGAAACAAACCTGCCTGGTCATATCTCCCCTCCTTGAGGAGGGCTCGTGTACGGCGTCGATTGGTGGTTAGATATGGGCCATGCTCCAGGCGCTTGCCATGATACTGCCTAGCAGCATGTGCCCACGCTTGATCCAAGGCCCCATGCAACTCAAACAACACGACCCGCTCTGGATCTTAAAGCTCGAGATTGATCGGATCACCGTCAATATTGACCCATTCCCAGGGCGCAGTGTCTCTCCATCCTGAATATAGCAACGCTGCTATGGATAACTAGCTGCCACTTCTTGCCAGCGTCTTCGATTGTTGGCAAAGCCTTCCAAGCAATCTGAAGCGCCTGTCTGCGGTTTCTCGTCAGATCTGGCAGCATTGCAATCCGTTCCTTGAAGAGTCGATGGCGTCCAAAAACTAGCAAGTCCTGGTGGCCAGAAGGGAAGGACGCTCAGATCGTGGTCGTCGCGCACCCGCTTTCCCTTCTGTCCAGCATCCCACTTACCTGCGCGCGCATACGAAGAAGGACTGAAGGCGCAACTACTTGCGCCTCGATCCCCCCCGCCGCCTGCGGCAAAGACCCTGTCTTAACTAGAGCTGTGGCCTTGCGCTGTGTCTTGGCCACTCTGTTTTATCATTTGCCCGCGGTCAGTCCTGGATAGGAGGCGTTTTCTTGACATCATCGTGACTCTGCGATGCGAAGCGCCGTCGATACCTGGACCTTTTGCAACCTGACTGTGCTTCAAATCAATACCATGTCGAATCAGCTGGGTCCTAACTCCCGTGGCCACACGAGGAAGACTCGCAACTACCATTCTCTTGGTCGAGATACGCAAACCCTGGGCTCCACACCGGCTGACAAAACCTGAACCGCAGCTACAGTGACATCAATCACTACATGTTCTTATCCAGTGGTGTGCTGAGTTACATCGTCTATCCAGCTCTGCACTTCAGATGGCCTAAATGAAGCGTGCAAGTCCCTCCTCCACCCCCTCCTCCTCCATCTGCTCCCCCGCTTCCCCCCTCAAGAAGACGAATAATAACAATACTAAGACAACTAATACGAGCACTAGCAAACGACAGCAACAATGATACTTCTACTACTATGGACAGTAACAAGCAGTTGTGCAAACATCAACTTTCGGAGCCTCGCGCGGATTTCTTGGGATCGGCGGTGGACCCGCCTGCGTGGCTCGCGGGGCGGCGCCAGAGGCGCCGCCAGGAGGGCCCAGCGCCGATCCCAAGAAGTCCGCGCGGAGCTCTGACAGTTGATACTTGTGCAACATGTTCTTCTTTAGCTCTCTCCGCCTCCCCTCTCCTGCTCTTGGCAGCGCGCACAACGGGGTATGGGGGAGGGGGGAAGGCTTTTCAGCAGGAGCAGGGCGCTTCCAAGAAGCAGGGTTCTTCTGCGAAGCCATCCCCCCTTCCCCTAGCCCCCTCTGCGCGTTGGCTGGCTGTGCCCTCCTCCTCCTCCTGCTCCTCCTCCAGAGGCCTCCTGAATGGGGTCGCAGTGGATGGGGTCGGAGGATCGCGCCGCATCGCCGATGTATCGGCGACGTCGGCGATGTGTCGACAACGCCCGCGCGGAGAACATCGGGGCCCACATCGAGCCGCATCGCCGATGCATCGGCGACGCGGCGCGATCCTCCGACCCCATCTGGGAGGCCTGGATTCTCGCAGCCGGCTGGCGCGAGCCTCCTCTCCGAGAGCCAGTGCGCTGCCGCGCGGGGCGAGCCGAGGCCCCGCGCGCGCGGGCGCCCGAGGCCGCGGCGGGCCGCCGCCGCGGCGTCGATGCTGGCACGAGCCCCCGCCCGTTCTGGGGCGCACGGCCGCCGGGGGCCCGGCATGGGGGGGGGGTGGAACGAGGGAGGATTGGAGGAGGAGGAGGAGGAGGAGGAGGAGGAGGAGGAGGAGGAGGAGGAGGAGGACGAGGCGGAGCAGGAGGAGCAGGCGGAGGAGGAGGAGTAGAAGGAGGAGGAGGAGGAGGAGGACCAGTGTAAACCCAAGAGTCCTCAACGATGTGGGAATCAACCCTCCCTCCAAGCTCCCCTGTCAGAGGCCCCTACAACTATTCGTTTCCACTGAGGGAACTGCCTCGTCGGAAGACAACCGGTTGAAGACTTTGAGCATGCCAAAACATTGTTCTCGGGATTCCAACGCCACGGATCAACCTGACTGTTGCGTCTTGACGATCCTGAATCTTGCCAGAAAACCATTCCTGGGACCTCAACGCTGCGAACCAGGGTAACTGTTGCACCCTCAACTTCCTGAATCCTTCCGAAACGCAATTTCTGGTACGTTGATCATGTGAACCCGTACAACTCTTGCAATTGTGATAAACGAATGTGTGCGTGGCTCTGGCAATAGCCACAAAATGAGAAAGAACCGCCCTCAATCCGCGAGTGTACGAGGCACTACGGCAAGATCCACATTTTGATAGAAAAAAGGATGCCCTCAATCCGTAAAGCTGTTACAAGCCTTTAAACCAAATGTGCGCGGCGCTGAAGCGAGAAGCACATGTTGAAAAACAACCGCCCTCAATCCGTGAAGCTCTTGCAATTTTCAAAAAAAGGGAATGTGCATGGCGCTAAGGCGAGAGCCACATGTGGAAAACCATTCGCCCTCAATCCGTGAAGCTCTTGCAAATGTTAAGAACGAATGTGCGCGGCGCTAAAGCGAGAACCACATTTTGAAACGACCCGTGCTCCATCCGTGAAACTGTTGCCATTTTTGTAGCTGCAAGGCCATCAATGGTGAGGAAGTCTCAGGCGAAACGCCCGGCCCGTCCTAAAAGCTGGCTTCGGGGTGCGACAAGAGGCGGAGGAGGAGGAGGAGGAGGAGGAGGAGGACGAGGAAGAGGAGGAGGAGGAGGAGGAGGATGAGGAGGAGGAGGAGGAGGAGGAGGAGGAGGAGGAGGAGGAACAGGAGGAAGAGAGGAGGAGAGAGGAAGAGGAGGAGGAGGAGGAGGAGCAGGAGGAAGAGGAGGAGGAGGAGGCGGAGGAGGAAGAGCAGGAGGAGGAGGAGGAGGAGAAGGAGGAGGAGGAGGAGGAGGAGGAGGAGGAGGAGGAGGAGGAGGAGGGGGAGGAACTCCCTCCCCCGCGAGGGGAGGGAGAAAGGCCTCTGCCCCTGGTCGCAGCAGTTTCGGTGCCAGGTTTCGGTCGAGCAGCGGCTCGCGCCGATGCCTCGCAGGCGGGCGCACGGCGGGCGTTCCCAGCACTCGCTTGAATCTATACAACTGGGCTGCTATCATAAGGGACGATCGCCACGGCGAGCCTCGTCCACGGATCTGCCCCCCCGACCTAACTCGAAGGACCGGCCCAGAAACCAGAGCCCCTCCTGAGCCCACGGTTGTCCTTGTGTCAGCGTCTTGACTGCAAGGGGGGAGGAAGGGAAAGGCGTGGCGACGAGGGTGTTGCAGGTATGGCTTCGGGTTGTCGGACCCCGGCACCTCTTGGAGGTTCCGCTCGAGCAGGGGCCCCCATCTGGCAACACGCGCCCGTAGCCCCCCCTACGGAATTCCACCCGAGAGCTCTGAGTGTCGCATAGGTGTGGGTGCTGGTTGCCAGCGTATGACGAAAGGCGGCCCCCGCCACTCTCGGGACAAGCAGCCACTGGAGGGGGGCAAGGCCTGCTGGATGCTTCTCTTCGCCACGGCTAGATCCGCCTCGAGAAGGATCCCAGGAGGGGTCCGGGGACAGATTTTTTCAAGGATTCGGGCCAGGCGGGAGGGTCGCCTGATGTCTCAACTGGGCCTCGTCGGACATGTGAACCCTACCCCTGCAGCTGAGATGTTTGAAAACAGGCTTTTCAGAGTGCGAAAGGATGTCTGCAGCCAAGTGAACCATAGCGGGTGCATCCGATACCCCAACGTCGATTGGACCAGAAATCTTCGGGGGTTCTCGGGTCGGCTGCGCTGCTGTACATGGGAGCTCATCTCACCAGCCCTCCGGACGTGAGTGGTTCAGAGCGCTTCCTCTTCGAACTGCCCTTCTTCCTTTTCGGGGAGGGGTCTGCCTCTCCCCCTACCCCCTCCCTTGGACCTGGATCTTGCCGTCGCTCGGACGTCCATTTCCCGTGCATTGTTCGGTTTCGTGCGTGTTTTTTTGCTCGATGGTCCAGGATGGTCCTCGATGGTTCTCGCCGAGAAAAAATGCACACGTCCGAGCGATGCCAAGGGATGGGGGGCTTCGCGGGTCGTCAGAGCGTCCGAGACGGCCTCGGCGAGGAGGCACGCATCATTGGTCTTGAAACGATGGTGGGCACACGTTTGCCTCCGGGGGGATGTCCTACAGTCGGGGCGTTGACCTAAGGAACGGTAAATAAGGAACGAGGCCCCTTTCTTCCATAAGTTAAACTTCGATTTCCAATCGAAAACCTAAGGACACCTAAGGCAAACTGCGGAACAATTAAGGAACACGGAGCCCCTCATCAACGATAAGGGTTCCTTGTTCAGCGCCCCGGCAGTACAGCAGTTTTCCCATTCAGCTTGACATGTATGTGTGGAGTGTCCGACACGAGTTTTCTAGCCGCGTGATAACTCCAAACCATACATGACATTCATGGTCCCAGCGTCCGGATGCCCATGGTATTGTTGACGCCGGCCCCCCGCCCAAACAAAACTGCTCTCGTTTCGCACGGCCGCATGAGCGTGGACATTTTGAGCTGGAATCGGCAGGCGGCTGTAACTGAGCCACCCCCTCTTCTTTGACCGATGCCCTCTAAGAGGTTCCCAAGATGGCCCCCAGGGCTCACAAAAGTGCACCAAGAGGGCTCCAAGAGGCGCCCAGGAGGCCCCTCCCCGAAGAGGCCCCCGAGCGGCCCCCAAGAGGGTCCCGCCCGAGGCACCCACGCTCTCCAGGGCCTCCAGGACTGCCAAGAGGCCCTCAACACGCCCAGAGAGGACTCGAAGAGGCTTTCAAGACACATCCGAAGACACTCCGTGAGGCATCCAAGAGGCCTCTGGCCATCCTGCTCGCCCTCCTCCTCCTCCTCTTCCGCCTCTTCCTCCTCCTCCCTCCCGTTTCTTCCTCCCCACTACCCAGCCCCTCCTCCTGCTCCGGTTCCTCCTCCATCCTCCCCCTCTTGGGGCATGACAGTTTCTCCAGCCCGTTATTCCACTGCATGGTCGTCCACGTTCGTGATCAAGGCAACTCGCGTGGGCATCTTTTCTGAATGGGCTGGTGGGATTACGCGAAGCGTGTAGCACTTGCTTTTGAGGGTGACCCGCCATCGCTTCATCGTTTCATCCGCCGACTGAACTCTTCGGCGCGTCGGAGGAAAAGTGTGTGTGTGTGCGCGCGTGCACATTTGATATTGCCAATTCGAATACTCGGCGGAGGCTCCCATTTGCAGCGGCCAGGGAAAAGAAGGACGTCCCCTTTCACGGCTCGGCACCCCCGAAGGCGGCGAACCGCAGAACGGGGCTCGCGGATGTCTTGCAGGTCGACGCCGAGCATCGCCAGGGAGGGCTCCCTGGGGGCGCCCTCGGCGCCGCGCGGCGGCCTCCGCTCGTCCGGCTCGAAGGACCTTGGCGCTCGATTTCGGACTGCTCGATTGCCCCCCCCCCATCCATTGAGCAGGGTCCGACCGTCCCAGCATTCCTATAGTCCTACCACGAAATTGTCTTGGAACCCAGAAATGCTTTCAGAACAAAAACAATGTTCTTAGAACATAAACCCGATGTGATAGAACAAAGCAGGCTCCGCCAGAAATATTCGAAGAACATCTCGTGGAAACCACACAAAAATGTTCTTGGAACATTGTTTGGTAGGGCTATAGGCGAGCCAGGACGCTTCGCCACTGCTAGAATCCTTGCCAAACTCTTGAATCGTTCCCTCCCCACTCCTCTCGGGTCGGACGAGAGCTGGCGGCGAGCGCGGGGGGGAAGTGAGAAGGAGCGGGCCTTCTCGGAAGGCTCGGAAGCCTCGGATGTCCTGGTCTGCGCCGTGCTCCACTGGCTGGGTCGCGTTGTGGGTCCCAGCTGTCCACTCGTTCTGTTCAGCACTGCATACTCTGTGGGCCCATTTCCATTTCCGTTGTCGTCGGATCATCACCCAATTATCGATGTGTAGACGCCCAAGAAGTTCCTCTGCCCTCTTGGTGGATCGTCGGATGTAGTCCGACCACGGTTCAAGACCATCTTCGTCCTGAGTTGTCTGTTCCACGACATCTGTTGAGCGCTCCCGGAGGAGGAGGAGGAGGAGGAGGAGGAGGAGGAGGAGGAGGAGGAGGCGGGGGAGGGGGAGGAGGAGATGGAGGAGAGAGGAGGAGGAGGTGGAGGAGGGGGATGACATGGAGGAGGAGGAGGAGGGAGGAGGAGGAGGAGGAGGAGGAGGAGGAGGGATGAAGAGGAGGAGGAGGAGGAGGGAGATGGAGGAGGAGGACGCAATCTTTCATTATGCACAGGCTCATCGAGAGCGCGTGGGCCTGCCAGGACGGCAAGGCGTCCGCATTACTCTCTGGACTGGTCAGAGGCGCTCGACAAAGTGGACCACGCAGCACTCCTCGCAGCGCTTGCTTCCTTTGGAATCCCGAACCCCTGCACTTAGGTCAGGCGTGTCCTCCTATAGGCAGAGTTGGGACGAACAATGAAAAGTACCCCAAACAATATACAGACATAGGCAAAAATGGTAAAACATCGTCCCCATACTATTTCTGGACTATTCCTCTTATAGAGGGACAGGCCCGACTTAACACTACTCCTGAAAAGGCTCGAGAACGGCGGCGTGGAGGACGAGCTCAGGCCCAGCCAGTTCGGTTTCAGGAGCAAGCGTGGGGCTGGGGACGGAGGAGGAGGAGGAGGAGGAGGAGATGGAGGAAGAGGTGGAGGAGGAGATGACGGAGGAGGAGGAGGAGGAGGAGGCGGAGGAGGAGGAGGAGGAGATGAAGGAGGGGGAGGACGCAATTTTTCAGCCCGACAAGTTCACATCGAGAGCGCGTGGACCAGCCGGGACGGCAGGGCCCACGGCACTCTCTCGGACTGGTCAATAGGCACTCGACAGAAGTGGACCACGCAGCACTCCTCGCAGCGGTCGGTCGGGCATGCCCCCCTACAGTTATGTTGCTCCCATCGTACTTAAGGACCACATCCCAGAAATAATTTTGAGCACCTGGAGAAGTGTCCAAAGAGTGCCGAAACAGTATCGAAACAGTGTCGGACGAGTGTCTCCCAGGGCCCGACACGCGAAAACTATAGATTTTCTGTATTTTTGGGGGCTCGAAATTCTTTCTGGTGATCAAGGCTAAAATAGGTGGGAACATCATAACCCTACAAGGGGGTTTGGGACGAAAAATAAAATAGACCCCATAACATACACAAAACATATTCAATAATCGTCAAGGAGCCGTCCCCAAACTATTTTTGAACTGCTTTGGGACATTCCTCCCGTAGAGGGACAGGCCCGGCTTGATCGTATATGACGGGAGGGCCTTCGATGTGAAAGATGCGGAAGGAGAAAGAGTCGGGTGCACGATCAGGGTTCTGGGATAGGACAGGGATGCCCCCTCCGCCCGTATCTCTTCATTCTCATGCTGAATGTTCTGATTGATAATGTTGGGAAGGACATGATCGGCAAATTAGGCGCAACCGTGGGGGAACCCAGTGGGCCGATATTGCGTATGCTGACGACACGGCCCTACTGTCAAATTACAGTCGACGTTTGCAGTATTCCCTGGACAAGTTCATCTTTCGAGCGCGCCTTTACGGATTGGAACCGGATTGGCAGAATTACTGTTGAGGCCGCCCCCCTCCCCCCTCCCCTCCCCTTCACCTCCTCCTCCGCGGAATGATCTTCAACATGCCTTGTCTGGCTGCTCTAGAGCTCTGCGGCCCCGCGCACTGCAACCGACGTGCCGTCCAGGCACGGCTCTGACCTGACCCGACCTGTCCACCACAGGCAGTTCGGAGTGGATCTCGGATAGCTCGATGCACCCGCCGTGCTGCCATGAAGGAACGCCGAACGGAGATCGAGGGGGCTGCTCTGGCCACGCCGAGCCTCAGCAGCGAACACGATCCCCGACCCAGGTGTGAGGAGGTACAGTCGGCCTTGATTGGGCAGGACACGCGAAAGGACACAAGACCCTTTCGATGGCCACATCGCCACAGGAATGTACGAAGCATGGCTCGCGAGACACAGGACACGAGGGTACCCTTGATGTGGCAGGGTCGACCCACGAGTCCGGGCCGCCTGCAGCTCGGTAAGCGCACAATCGGTCTACCACATCCTCGGCCGCCCCGATGCGCAACACGCAGCACGTGGCGTGCCGATACGGAGCTCCACACGCAGACTGCAGACAGAGGCGTGACGCGGTACGCTCGCCAGGACGTGGGCCCACACGCCGAGCCAGCACGCCACGCACTGACGCGAACGCTCCAACGCGGGCGCACCGAGGCAGCCGAGACCACAGCCCGCCGGCCAAACCCGTCGTCTTCGTGGGCAGCTCGGCAGCCCGAGCCCGGCCTCCCACGAGAGCGCGCGGCCGGCGGCCCCGGGCCCCGCTGAGGCGCGCGACACCCGCCTCCGCGCCGCCGAGGGCTCCGCCGAGGGCTCCGCCGAGGGCTCCGCCGCGGCGCCGGCCTCTCTCGGAGGGAAGATCGGCGGCGAGCGAGGGGGGGGAAGCGAGAAGGAGAAGGCCTGCTCAGAGAGCGGCGGGGCTTCCGACGGCACGATTTTCTGCCCCCGAGCTGTTCCCTCGATCCTGGCCCTCGGGGGTTCCTTTCGCGCCCAAGGACCACATCAACAACGGATGCGGGACGACAAACAAACTACTCCCTGGAAGTGATCGGGACCTCTGCGGCCGCGGATTGCAAAAATCAGACCGGTGGATGTCATTGGCGACGAGCGAGGGGGGGAGAAGGCCTTCTCAAACGCGGCGGGGCTTCTCAGAAGCCCTCGCGCCTTCTGAAAAAATGTCCGTGCCTTCGGGGAGGGCTCAGCAGACTTCTCAGGGGGCTAGGGTGACTTCCGAGCCTTCCGAGAATGCCCTCTCCTCCTCCATATCCCCCCTGGGCTCGCCACCGAGAAGGTGCCGGAGGGCGCCAACTGTACATGCAGGCACTTGCGATAAGAACTGCCCGAAACAGTGCTCGCATTGAGGGGCTACTCTCGCTTCTCTTGTGTGATCGGGCTTCTGATGCTCCCATCGTGCTTGAGGGCCACACCGCAGAACGGACTTCGAGCACCCAGGAAAGCTGTCGAAACAGCGTCGAAACAGCGTCGGACGAGCGTCTCCCAGGGCCCGACACGTGAAAACCATCGAGCTTCGGTACCTTTTTGGTGCTCGAGAATCTTTCTGGTGCTCAAGACTAAAGTAGGTTGGAACATCTAGAGGCCTCCTAGATGGGGTCCGAGTAGATGGGGTCGAAGGATCGCACCGCATCGCCAATGCATCGCCGATGTATCGGCGATGCATCGGCGATGCACTGGCGACGTTGGCGATGCATTGGCGACGTAGGCGTGGAGAACATCGGGCTCCGTATCGAGCCGCATCGCCGATGCATCGCCGATGCATTGGCGATGCGGCGCGATCCTCCGACCCCATCTACTCCGACCCCATCTAGGAAGCCTAGAACATCATAAACCGAGCCCTTAGGGAAGATCGCCCCCGGGCCAGTCACACACGCCGGCCCCTTGCGGTGGGGACGCCGGCCAAAGAGCACCGTATATGGCGGAGCACCCGTGGGTGCCCTGCCCCCGCCGTGTGCCTCGGCGGGGGCCTACCGGTTTCAGGTCGGGCGTGTCCCCCTAGTAGGGAGCCCACAAAGGACGTACGCGCCCAGCCATGTACATGAACACGGCCCCTCGATTCGCGAGACCGGCCGCGTTATACGAACATTTGTGCAATGCGTGCTCTCGCAACCAGCGTGGATTCATGTACATGTACGTCCTTCTTTCGCTCCTGACCTAGAGGGTACACGTCGTTCATGTCTACTCGTGCTCATGTTTTAGTTTGTGCTCGTTGCTAACTGTTCTTGGCCCCCTTGTGGCCAGGAAGAGGCCCAGGACAGAACCATCAGAAGTGCCAGGATCTCGACCCTCCCAAAATCAAAGAACCTGCGAAGAATCAGGAATGAACAACGTGTGTAGGTGCTCGAGCTTCTTTCTAGTGAGCAGAGCTAAAAAAACAGGCTGGAACACCACAAGATCGGGCGGGTCCGCTGCGGATTTGCCACGCCGGCGCCCCCCGCGGGCGCCCCGCGGGCGCCCCTTGCCTGGGGTGGGTCCGCTGAGGGCCCGCCTCGCCCGACCCGTTGGACGCCTCGCGGGCGCCGCGTGCTCTGGGCGTGGGCCGCATGGCTGACACGGGAGCGCTGCCATGGAGCCGCCCTCGCACCGCATAGTCTGTACCTTTCGGCTACAGTCGGGGCGTTGACCTAAGGAACCTTAAGTAAGGCACGAGGCCCCGGTTTCCCATGAGTTAAACGTCGCTTTCCCAAGGAAGACCTCAGGAAAACCTGCGGCAAACTGTTAAACAATCAAGGAACACCGAGCCCCTCCCCAACGAAAAGGGTTCCTTCTTCAGCGCCCCGACTGTACACGCAAGAGTGACCCTGGGTAAGAATGACCTTTGGTGCGCGGCTTTTTGGGACCGCGGGGGGGGGGACAAGAACAAGCGCGCAAGCCGCTGCTACCGCTTCTCTTTCGGCCATCTGGGGGTCCATCTGCGCCCGCACCACAAGTCACTCCGGCGAAAGGACGCTATTACGTCTAGTTGAGAAGCCGGCAGGCAGGGTCAGCTCCTATTCAAGGCTCCCGGGCAGGCCTCCCCGGAGCGCCTTGCTCAAGCTCGCAGCGCGTCCCGAGAAGAGTTCCCCTGCTCGTTCACAGTACGCGTGCCCCGAAGCTCTGAAGGTCCTGCGAAGCTCCTTCGAAACTCTTTTGACGTTTGCCAAACACCGCCCAGCTCACACCGCATAGCTTGCACACCACAGCTAACTTCACACAGCTTGCCCCGCCTGGCCTACACAACATAGCTGACGCTACATGGCTTGCTCCGCATGCCTTTCACCTCCCGTGCAATGGCTCACCGTTTGGGGTCTACGCTGGCGAGCATTCTTACTGTAAGAAATCTAAGGGCACAATCCTCGCCGATCCTGAGTTTCGCAAGGTGCCCCAGGTCCCTGAGGGCCCAAAGGAGGATAGGAAATTTCCGTGGGGCACGCTTGGCAAGCTGTTCTATGATCTGATGCGCCCACTGTGCTCCCACACCGATCCATGCCCAAGATCGGCATGGGTTGAGCAGGGACCGACCGTACCGTCATTCCTGTAGGCCTACCACGCACATTTTTCTGAGAACCGCAACATGGTCTCATAACAAAAACACGATTCTTAGAGCATAAGCCCGATGTGTGAAAACAAGCCAGTCTCAACCAGACATGCTCTGAGATTACTTCGTGCAGGCCACAGCAAGTTATTAGCATTTTCTGCGGTGGGCCTACAGGCCAACCCAGAACGCTTCGCTTCTGCTTGACTGGGGACGATCGGTACAGGTGTACCCATCGGTCAGAAGAAACAGGTACGAACATGAAGTAGGAAGGCGTTGAAGTAGATTGGAATCTAGGAGCCCAACAATACCTACTTCCAACGACCGATGGGTATGGTTGGTGCCCTGCGGAGGAGGGCCCGCACGCCTCCGGGGCGGCTCGGGCAGAGCCGAGGCGGCAGCGGCCCCGCTCGCAGGCAGAAGACGAGGTGTGCGGCGGGGATGTGTTCATAACCACCGCCTGACGGACAGCTCTTCGGGGACCAACACATCCACATCAACCGCCCGCCAATGCCCCCAAGCATCATCCCCCAGGCGGTGGTTAAGGACAGATCCGCGCCTCGCACACACAAACTGCATAAGCATAAAAACCCGGGGTCCGCACGGATTTCTTGACTCTGCGCTGGAAGATCACGACGACGGAGATCTGGAGCCCGAGATCCCCGCTGCCGCCCGCACCGACGGACTCCACTCTGAAGCTCTGGCGTCGAGCCCGCGACCACACGGTGCCAGGTGGTCAAGCATCCTGCTGCCGCCCAGCACCGGGGAACGCCAGATGCGACGTGCACCCGCACCAGCGCTGGCCAGGCCCATCCTGGGAGGAGGAGGAGGAAGAGGAGGACGACGAGGAGGAGGAGGAGGAGGAGGAGAGGTAGGAGGAGCAGGAGGAGTAGGAAGAGGAGGCAGAGGAGGAGGAGGAGGAGGAGGAGGAGGAGCAGGAGGAGGAGGAGGAGGAACAATAGGACGAGCAGGAGGAGGATGAGGAGGAGGAGGAGGAGGAGGAGGAGGAAGCGGAGGCAGAGGAGGGGGTGGAGGAGGAGGAGGAGGAGGAGGAGGAGGAGGAGGAGGAGGAGGAGGAAGAGGAGAAGGTGCATACACCCATCCTGGCCTGGCCAGGAAGGCGCAACCACCCATCCTGGGCCCACGGTCGGCCCTGGCCAGGATGGGTGGCTGGAGCACCAGTCAGCGCGCCTTCGGCAGCATTCGGACGCCCTCCGGGCCTCCGTCAGTCGGGACCTCCGCGCGGCCTCGCGCGCCTTCGCCCTCTCCTGGCCACGCTTCCGCAGGAACTCGCACGCCCCGGCGCCGAACTGCTGGAGCAGCTGCTGCTGCCACTCCTGCAGGAAGGCACCCACTGCGTACTCGCACCGACCTCGGCCAGGCCGTCCTCGGGCCCAGGATCGGTGCAAGCGCAACGGGCGGGCGCCCTCCGATCCTTGACCTCCTCGCTGGTCGCGCTGCTCAACGCCTGGCGGTTCTGCAGGTCGATCTCCTCGTCCTCGTTCTCGGGCTCGTGGCCAGCGTCCTCGTCCTGCCTCCTGCCGGGACGGCGCTGGAGGCAATGCTAGCGGTGACCGTCGTCGTCGTCCGTCGTCGTCGTCGTGATTGTCGTCGTCGTCGTCCTCGTTTTCTTCATCGTCGTCATCGTCATCGTTGTCTTCCTCCTCCTCCTCCTCTTCCTCCTCCTCCTCCCGGAAGATGAAGAATAAGCATACCTTCACGTATGAGTAAGAATGAGCACGTTTGGGTCTGAGTGTGGGAAGTTCGTTTAGGTGAGGAAGCGGTGTTGGTGAGTGAGGCTGAGAGTGAATGCGTCTGAGTGGGGAAAAAAGAGGAGGTGAGTGAGTGAGTGAGTGAGTGAGGTCCAGAGGCGTCTAAGCAACACAAATCCATAGACAAGCCTGGGGGGCCGAAACGGGCAAACCGCCAACGCTGCACGGCCGCGCCCCCGGGGCGGCTCGCGCACGGCCCCGGCCCCGGCGGCGCCACAGCGCGCCGCCGGCGGCGCCCTGCGAGCGGCATCCCCGCTCGGTCTGCTTCGGGCTCTGGGGTGCGGGGGCCCAGACGCAGGGACGGGGGATGGGGGAGGGAGTGGATCACAGTAGAGGAGGGAGGGGGGAAGAAGGGGGGAGGGCCGGGGGGGGAGGGACGGGGGGGGGGGGGGGAGGGAGGGGGGAGGGGGGAGGGAAGGATCACAGTAGAGAAATGACACAGGGGGAGATCGGCGGAGCTGGGGCAGGAAGACCCGCTCTCCCAAGCACCCCGACGAGCGGGCAGCACGGCGCTCAAAATCACCACCGCGCTGCCGGGCGGGAACGAACACAGCAAACAAAGAATGGCTCGACCGGGGGGCGCCTGCCCTCAACGTAGCCTCACCGCCCGCGATTGCTCCCCCCAGCCACGCGTACACCCGGGCGGTACCCCGCCGCCGCTCGCCCTCCCGTGCGGGGTAATCGTGCGACCGGGCGCGACCGGGCACTCGAGCTCTCCCCACCCAGTCTTCACTCCTCCAACGTTCTTTCCTCTACGGTCCGGCGGCGGGCGCTGCAGTGAAACGGGCGGACTGCCTCCAGCCCGTGGTTCACAAGTCGTCCGAGTGGGTGCGACGGCGCTGCAGCGCTCTGTCGATGCTGCTGCTGGTGTCCACCTCCATGGTCCCGTCGCTGCTGGCACCGGCGCTTGCCGGCGCTGGGGGCTCTACGGCTTCGCTGGCCTCCATCAGGCTCTTGATACGCTTCCTGCGCCCTGGAGTGTGGCGGACGGCGCTGCACCCCTCGCACCTGGGGCACCCAGCAGTGCCGTACAGCCTGGTAAGACGCTCATGCGCCGGGCGGCCTCCGCGGGCTCCGCAGCCACCGCGGGCTCGGGGGCTCCCTCCACCAGGCACCTGATGCGCTGCCTGCAGGTGGCGGTGTGGCCGCTTTTGGTGGACCCGTCGCACCTGGGACACCCATCCGTGGCGCCGTACAGCTTGGTCAGCCGGGGAATGACGTCCACGGCACCCGGTGGCCTTCTCTGCCGTCTCCGGCGATCGCTCCTGCGCGTGCCTCTTGGGCGAGGGGGTGGGCAACTCCTCGCCCTCCTCGGAGGTGCCCTCGCGGGGTACAACCGCGGGCGCCGCCGCAGCGGCATCACTGGCGGCGTTCTCCTTCAGCCCCCGTTTCTCGTCCAGCAGGTGCTGGTTCCCGTCTGCGCCGCCGAGGAACATGAACTTCCACACCCTACGCATCTTACCCCCTTTGTCGCCCCTCTTCCAGTCACTCTGCTTCATCAGCGTGCAGCTGTCCGGCAGTTCGGACCACAAATCACTTCGCGCCTTCCTGGCGGCAACGAGCCGTGGGTCAGCAGTGGCCCCGCGAAATACCCGATTGATGGCAACAAGGAAATGACCGATGTCCTCCCTGAGCTTTGGGCCTAAGCCTAGGCCCTGGTAGCTCGGAAGAACCACAAGCCGGTGCTCCAGGTACGTAATGCCCTGGGTATACTTTTCAAAGAGCAAGATGAAGGATTCGAAGGCCACAGGGTTGCCCGCGAGAGTGTCCCTCATCAGGACCGCTTCAACGTTCTTGCTCAGGCTGCCCGTCAAGTAATGGTGGGCGTGGAAAGTCTCCTGCCGCGAGAGGTTCGCGCCCTTCGGCTCAGCGGGGCCGCCGCGAGTTTCCACGGCCTGGGGCGAAGCAGCTCCTCGAGCTGGCGCTCGTCCGCGCCGTCCGCCTGAGAGCCGTGCCGCGCGAGCGAGCGGCCTTCCGCCGCAGCGGCGGCGGCGGCTGCGGCCGCCGCCACCTGGGATGCGGGCGGCTGGGGGCCATCGAAGCGGACCGTCTCGCCGGAGTCGCTGAAGAGGACCACATCCGGCCACAGCCACTGCACGACAGCCTCGTTGACCGTGGCCACGACCAATGTGTGGCGTGTCTCGCGCACGTACTTGGCAACCCCACGGCAGACCTTCTCAGTCGTGCGAGCGTCCAGGCCCGAGCGGAACTCGTTCACGGGCTCGATCGGCCCTGGCCATGCGGCGGGCGATCTCGGCCCGCGCCTGCTCGCCAGAGGACAGCACGTGCCACGGCCGCAACGCGGCTCGCGGCGGCAGCGCCGCGGCCGCCAGCAGCCTCGCGGCCTCCTGCGGCGTGCACCCCTTCCTGCCGAAGTGGGAGGCCATCGCCAGCGCCGGGTCCCACTCGAGCGGCGTCAGCGCTGCCCTGTCTGTGCGCCGACGGAGCTCACTGCTCTTCCCGGTGCCGCTGGGACGAAGTCGTGCAGCTCGGTGGTCGTCCCGCCCTCGAACTCGACCTCCATGGCCTCGGCCACTTTCGCGGCCACCTTGTCCGTCGCCACTTCGACCGTCAGCCGCCGAGTGTCCGCACGGTCCGCGCCAGCGGCGAGGCGAACCTTTTCGCGGCGAGGGCCAGATGCGGCCTGCCCCTCCGGCGTCCCGCGGTCGAGCTCGCCAGCGATCACAGCCTTCGTGCCGTCCTCCTCGGGAGAGCTCCTGAGCGCATCCCAGCTGATGTCAACTCGGGCCTCGTCACGCGGCACCGGGCTGGTGCACACCCTGTCGCTCGCCGCGAAGGGCACCCAGTCAGGCGCCGGGTGCGCGAGCACGCCTTTCGTCGTCTTGGCGACGCCGAGGCGCCGAATCCCGTCGCGGTTCACCAGGCGCGCCAAGGACATCGCGGTCGACTCGGCGGTGAGCTCGTCCGCGTCCGCGCAGAAGCCTTCTGGCATGCATGCCGGCGGAGGGGATGCCGACTTCACCGACAGGGCCGTCAGCACGCGGCTCCGCTCGCCGCTGGACAGCGCCCGCGCTGGGGCGAAGCCACGGCCACATCCTGCTGAGACCCACGCTGCTCAGCCGGTCCAACGGGTCGCCATCGAATCCGGGATGACTGCACACCGCTGCGGCCGGGTCGAACTCGGGCTCCTCCAGCGCGGCATGCGGGAAGAGCTCGCGGCACCACGCCGACGCACCGCTGCTGGTGGGGCCGCAGATGACCCCCACCCCGAAGTCCTCCGGGACGCTGCACTGCATCATCGGGAGTTTCCACGACACGGAGTCGTGGCCGGAGCTGCCGTCGAAGTCCTCGGCGAGGGCGCGCGTGAAGCTCTCCACGCCGACGCTCCCGCTCAGCGGTCCGTGGCTGGCCATCCAGTCCGAGCGCAGGCAGGTGCACGCGGTGCGCGCTCGCACACCCGCGTCTGTCCGACGGCCTGAGCAGCGATGGGTTCCGGAGGCACCGGCCGCGCACGGGCCGTGCAGGCCGCGCGCTGCAGGGACCACGTTCTGCCCAGGGCGGCTCGAGGCCAAAACAGCTGGAGGCCAATGCTCTCGAGGTGGTGCATACAGGACGACAACTTGCCAACGTTTTCAATTCGGCGTTTCGACATTGGGCGGAAAGGGGGGGGGAGGGTGGGGTCTGGCTCCAGACCTCTGCTTGGTGCGGCTGTTTGGAACAGTGCGTCCGTTGTGGGGGAGACCCCACCTGCTCGAAACAGGCGCCGACGAAAAACAGCCAAGATCCACTCCATGGGGGGGAGGGGGGGTTGGGGGCCCGCGCCGATCGGCAAAACAATTAATACAAAACGCTCACCTTCTGAGTTACCTGACGCGAGAATCCCCGCATGTGCATCTTAACCTCCTCCTGTGGCGTCTCGCAGAGGAGCTGTACGTGAGTTCCTGGCTGTGAGAGCAAGTCCGCGAAGACGACGGGCGCGACAACGACGACGACGACAGCGACGACTTAAGTGATGACCTCCTCTTCTGGCTGGGCGTATGTCAGGAGAGATTATGAAAGCACTGGTGGAGGAACGAGGGAGCATTGGACCACCAAAAGCAAAAAGACCGAATCAATCTGAATGTGTTCGATTTGCGTGTGACTGAGTCTGAATGTGAGTCCGGGTATGATTGAGCTTCGGTGTGGGCGAATCTAGTCTGAGAGAGTCTGAGTATGTACGAGTGAATCAGAATATGAGCGAGTATGAGCGTGAGTGAGTCTGACCGAGAGAAGATCTGAGTGTGAGTAAGTTTAGTGTGGGTGAGTCTGAGCATGAACACGATGAGTAGGAGTTTGATTATGAATGGGTCTGCACGCGTGAGTCTGAGAATGAGTGAGTCTGAGAGTGGGTGAGTCGAGTACAAGTGCATCTGAGAGTGAGTGAGCCTGAGCTTGAGTGAGTCTGAGTATATATTTGGTGAGTATGGGACTGAGTCTGAATGAGCCTGAGTACAAGTGAGTCTGACTATGAAATATGATGGTGGGTGGATCTGAGTGTGTAGGTTGAAAGTGAGTTTGTCTGAGTGTGAGCGAGTCTGGATGCGAGCGAATGTGGATGTGAGTGAACCTGACTATGAGTGGGTCTGATCCTGAAATGCCCTCGCCACCATGGCTGGGTCCGCCTCGAATTCCTGGTCAAGCTGTGCCCTGCGACAGGTTCGGGGCTCGCTGGCGTCGCCGTCATCGCTCGAAGGTCCAGGCACCCGAAAACCCAGAATGCCAAGCGCCAGGGGCTCGTTCTCGTGACTCCTTGCTCCGTTCCTCCCCCGTTTGGGGGTCAAAGGGGCGGGCGGGGGGCGATCAGCGGAACCAAAGCGTGCACCCCCCCCCCCCCCCCCGCACACCGCACACAACGAACACATGCGCACGTCTGTCAGATGGGCGAGGCCCTCCGCAGAACGCCCCGCGGCAGATCCACGTCGCGACGACGCGGGCATCGTGTTCTGTCACCTCGTGGGTCTTTCGGCATGGAACGATCGTGGCTTGCCGACAGCGCGGCTCTTTCGATGTCGGCTGATTCTGGGTCGCCAGCGACGTTCAACACTGGACGCCCGCACAGGGGGTCGCCACCGCGTCAAGGCCGCGCGAGCCTGCAGTGCCTGGGGTACTCGCGCATCCCACGCGCCGTCAGCGGGCTGCTTCTGCTGGCTTGCTGGCACGCCGCAGCTCCAGCGCGCAATCTGGCCTCGGTATGTCGCCGCAGCAGTTCCAGAGCCTCGCCCGCGGATCGCACTCCACTTGACCTGTGCCGGGCTGCGATAGCTGAAACACGTGCTGTGTGCCCCAGTGCCGGATTTAGCTGCCTCATCCTTGCTCTCCCTCCTCCCCCCTATGCATCCTCCTCCCCCTCTTGGAGGGGGCGAGGACTGGATGACGGATGGACAGGGAGATGGACGTGGGGCGGAGAAGAGAAGAGAGGGAGGGGGGGAGGCTGGACAAGACGGAGAGAGCTGGGAGAGGGAAGAAGAGTGGAAAATAGGAGCAAGGGACAGAGGGAGGACGCAAGGGGGAAACGATGAAGGGGGACGACGGAAGTTTTGTGTAGATTCCCGTGTTGTCCCGTACCTAGCTGTCAGAGGAGAGGAACACATAATGGATGGAGCCACGAGGGATGATGGCTTTTTTTCCTCTGCTATCCCAGAGGCCAGGACCGATGAACGAGTTCGCGGCGGCCGCGACTGCGGCTGCGACTGACCTCGAGGCGAGGGGCAGCTCTTGCAGCAGCATCTCGCGCCTGAATGCGTGCAACGAGCGCGAGCATGCCCGGCGTCTGCATCAGGGGGACGGTTGGAAGATCAAGAGCTGATAAGAAAAGGGGGTCTCTTGAAGGCCTCTTTGGATCCTCCTGAGGCGTCTTGTGACCCTTCCCGTGGGACTCTGGGGGGCATGTTGGGGCCTCTTCGGCTCGTGGGGCCCTCTCTAGGGCCCTCCGAGGACGTCTTCCGCGCCTCATGGGGCCTCGCAAGCAACTTTGTAGAAGCCTCGTGGGTAGAGGCCTCCTAGATGGGGTCCGAGTAAATGTGGTCGGAGGATCGCGCCGCATCGCCGATACATCGGCGATACATCGCCGATGCATTGACGATACATCGGCGACGTCGGCGATGCTTCGGTGCCATCGGCGTGTAGAAATTCGGGCTCCACATCGAGCCGCATCGGCGATGCGGCGCGTTCCTCCGACCCCATCCACTCGGACCCCGTCTGGGAGGCCTAGAGTAGGGCCTCTCGGGGCGCTCCTGGGGGCATCTTGGAGCCTTCGTTCTTTTGTTGCTGCTGTGTGTGTGTGTGTGTGTGTGTGTTTGTGTATGCGTGCGTGCGTGCGTGCGTGCGTGCGTGCGTGCGTGCGTGCGTGCGTGCGTGCGTGCGTGTGTGTGTGTGTGTGTGTGTGTGTGTGTGGTGTGTGTGTGTGTTGTGTGTGTGTGTGTGTGTGTGTGTGTGTGTGTGTGTGTGTGTGTGTGTGTGTGTGTGCGTGCGCGTGTGTGTGTATATGTGTGCGTGCGTGTGTATGGGGGTTTGTATGTGCGCGCGTGTGTGTGTGTGTGTGGGTGTGTGTATTTGGTGTGTGTGTGTGTGTCTGTGTGTGTGTGTGCGGTGTGTGTGTGTGTGTGTGTGCGTGTGTGTGTGTGTGTGTGTGTGTGTGTGTGTGTGTGTGCGTGCGTGCGTGCGTGCGTGCGTGCGTGCGTGTGTGTGTGTGTGTGTGTGTGTGTGTTCGTGTGTGCGTGTGTGTGTGTGTGTTCGTGTGTGCGTGTGTTTGTGCGCGTGTGTGTGTGTGTGTGTGTGTGTGTGTGTGTGTGTGCGGGCGCTTCTCCGTCCGCACCCTCCGGCACCGTCCGCCTCTGCTGCTTGGGGGCCCCTCTCGGTCCTCACAGAGGCTGCCTCGTCCCCGTGCCCGCCTCCCCTTGGAGAGGGGGGCGAAGAGGTCCAGGACCCCCCCGCGTTCCGGAACGCCCCGTGGCTGGCCGCTCAGCTCGGCGGCGCGACAAAGGGGGTAGAGCTAGACCGGGGACGTCCCCCCACAGGCGGAGTTCGGACGAGAAATAAAACAAATCAATACGTACTTAAAATCAAATGGTCACAAGTAGGCAACAAATCGTCCCCAGACTGTTTTTTTGATTATTTTTGGGCATTCCTCCTGTTGAAGGACATGCCCGACGTAAGGGTAGAGGGCGGGGGGCACGCTTCTTAGAAGGCGGCTGCCTCTTAGGAAGCGCAGGCCACCCTTCTGCAAGCCAGGGGCGCACCCCCAGGAGCTTCTCAGAAGCACGGAGCTGCTTCTTCCGACGATGCCGCCCGTCGTCGTCGTCGTCGTCGTCGTCGTCGTCGTCGTCGTCGTCGTCGTCGTCGTCGTCGTCGTCGTCGTCCCCCCCTCGCCCTGGTGCCGTGGCTGCAGGCCTCTCTCGGAGGGCCCCCTGGCGCCCCGGGGCGAAGAGGTCTGGAGCCCTCCCGCACTCACGAGGAGCCCACCGAGGACGCACTCGCCCAACCACGCACATGAAAACGGACCCCCAATCCGCGAGACTGGCGGCGTGATTCGAACGCAGGGGGCCCACAGAGGACGTACGCGCCCAACCGCGTACTCTCGAGGCCAGCGTGGATTCGTGTACGCGTACGTCCTTCTTTCGCTCCTGAGTTCGGACCGCCCCGTGGCTGGCTGCTCAGCTCAGAGGGCAAGAGTCGCCGGCTTTCCAGTGCTCGGGCGCCGGCAGCTCGGGCAGCGCGTCGGCGTCGCCCAGCTCCTCGAGCACGGAGTCGACGGCCTGCGCGTGCTCCCAGAGCCCGGGGTGGCTGCGTGGATCCTCCAGCGCCTTCAGATCGACCGGCGCCACCAGCCACCAGCGTCCCCGCTGCCACGTGGGCTCCACGCGGGCCGCGGCGGGGCGGGCTTCTGGGTGGCCCACGCTGAACCACATGCCTTGCGAGTCGACGGCGGTGACCGCGGCCCTGCTCCTCCGCTCGGCGTCCCCGGCGCCAGCCCCAGCCGGCAGACAGGGCGACTCCATCCAGTGCGGCAGCTGCGGCGAGGGCTGCAGCTGCGACGCTTCGAAGGGGCTCCGCGGCGCCTCCACCGCCCTGGCCACGGCGTCCACGGCCGCCTGCCACCTCTCCTGCGGCTTGGCCTCGGAGATGTCCTGGCTGGCCTCCATGTGGACGGGGCTGTGGCTCCTCATGTTGCCCCCTGGGGTGCAGGCCCCGCCGCGCGTCGGCGTGACGGTCGTGGGGGTCGCCGAGGCGGCCGATGGCGACACGGCGCCGCCGTTCGTCGGCGTCGCGGCTTGGCTGCCCTCTGCCGCGCGCCCGCGCTCGGGCAGCGAGGGCCACAAGGCGGGGGCCGCCATGCCAGCGGTCGTAGGGGGCCTTGGCCACCTCTCGCTGCTGGCAGCAGGGAAACTGCCCGGGGGCGCGCTGGACACCCTGGCGTCGGGCGGGAGGACCACCGCCGCGCCCTGCTGCAGCATCATGGGGTGCTCCATGGGCTTCGGCCCCGTGTTCGTCGCCCAGTGTGTCACCGGGACCGACTGGGTCACATCCCCATCGGACTGCACCAACACCGTGGGCCCGGCGCCAGCCATGCTCCCGGCGGGCTGCGGCAAGATGACCGACTGCGTGCTCGGCCGTTGTGCCAGCTCCCCGGTGCCCAGGGCGCCGGAGCCTAGCGCGGAGGCGAACACCGAGGAGATGGCGGCCAGCGGCGCCAGGGTGGCCGCCGCGGCGATGGGCCTGCCCGCCGCCTGCGCCGGCCGCGGCGGCGTCGGGGGGCGTGCCGCGGCCGCGCCCACGTCCTCGTGCTTTGCCGGTATCCTGCGCCGCTCGTCGACGAGGAGCTTGGAGGTTTGGAAGTGCTGCTGCGGCTCCTCGGCGAAGTCGTGCATGGAGCCGAGGAAGCCGGTGGCGGGCCCCCAGCCCCCTCCGCTGGGTGCAGGCACCGTGAGCGCGCCCGGCGCGGTGCTCGGCATGGGCCTGTCAGCGGCCAGGTGGTCCTCTGGGGCGTCGGAGCCGAACTGGGCCGTGCCCAGGGCCTGAGCGCCGCCCGCGTCCACGCCGAGCGGGGGGGCGCCGACCGACCTCGAGCTGAAGCTGCGCGGGTTGGCGTCCAGCATGCCTACCGACGAGCGCGCGGTGCCGCTCAGCGGGTTCGACGGCGAGCGCGCGGCGCCGCCGCCCGCCACTGCGTGCGGCGACTGCGGGCTGACGGTCAGGAAATGACTGCCACCGTGCAGGCCGCCGCTGTACAGCCTCTGCAGGTCGGCGGCGCTCGCCAGCGGCTGTGCGCCGGCGCGCGGCGCCGCGGGCGCCGAGCCCGCGTGGCCCGCCAGGTCAGCCGGCGCCGCCATAACGGGGGCGGCGCGCCCTCCCGTCTTCGCCAGGGGGGCTGCGGCGGCGCCGGGCCGCTTGAGCCAGGCGGCTCGCGAGATGTGCGGCTCTAGGCAGCCAGGCGTGCTGCCATCCCAGACCCCTGACGTCATGATCTTTTCCTGACGCCGACCCTCAGAGGTGTCGACCCATTCCCCATGAACCGGTTCAGGCAGCCAGGCGTCCTGCAATCCCAGGCCCCCGACGTCATGATCTTTTCCTAGCGTCGACCCCCAGAGATTTCGAACCACTCCCCACGGACCGGCTTTTCGTCCCGAGTGGTTTTTTGACGGTCCCGAGAGCCCCTGTTTTTGACGGTCCAGGCCCGAGGCCAGGTGGAAAAACCTCCCGTCGCGCATTCTTCCCCACTCGAGGAGGAGGAGGAGGAGGAGGAGGAGGAGGAGGAGGAGGAGAAGGAGGAGGAGAGGAGGAGGGGAGTAGGAGGGAGGAGGAGGAGAAGGAGGGGAGGTAGGGAGGAGGGTAGAGGGAGGAGGAGGAGGGAGGAGGAGGAGGAGGAGAGGAGGAGGAGGCAGGGAGGAAGAGGAGGAGCGAGGAGGGAGAGGAGGAGGGAGGAGGGGAGGAGGAGGGAGGAGGAGGGGAGGGGGAGGAGGAGGCGGAGGAGGAGGGAGGAGGAGAGGAGGAGGAGGAGGGAGGAGGAAGGGGAGGAGGAGGCAGGAGGAGGAGGAGGAGACGGAGAGAAGGAGGAGGAGGTCGGGGATCGCCCTCTCCGCCAGGAGAAGGGCGGCGGTCACCGACAGGCTCGGGCTCCTGGCGACGGCCGCCCGGCCCAGGCTCCTCGCCAGCGCCGGCGGGGTGCGGGGGGGCAGCCGGCCCCGCCTCGTCGTCGTCGTCGTCGTCGTCGTCGTCGTCGTCGTCGTCGTCGCCGTCGTCGTCGTCGTCGTCGTCGTCGTCGTCGTCGTCGTCGTCGTCGTCGTCGTCGTCGTCTCTAGACCTCTGATGTCGTGTCTTTGCGAACCTCCAGAGGTCCACTTCCCTGGGGCGAGGCTTTTCATCCCAAGTCGGTTTTTGACGGCCCCCGGGGCCTGGCAGAGTCCCTCAGAGACCGGAAACGGGCAAACACCGTATGAAAATGTCAACTGAAAAAAAGGATCGGTGCTGCCGACCTCTGATTGAGAGCTTCGACTCCCACTGGAGCCTGCTAGCTCCAGACCGCCCCTGCTGGGCCACGGAAGCAGCCACAGGAGAAGACGGAAAGGAGGAGGACAGAAGAGGAGGAGGAGGAGGAGGAGGAGGAGGAGGAGGAGGAAGAGGAGGAGGAGGAGGAGGAGGAGATGGACGAGGAGGGAGGAGACGGAGGAGGGAGGAGGGAGGAGGGAGGAGGGAGGAGAGGAGGGAGGAGGGACGAGAAGAGGAGGAGGAGGAAGGAGGGGGAGGAGGGAGGAGGGAGGAGGGTACAGACGTCAAAGTGCGGTGACAGACCGTGCGGTGACCGCGACATCCCAAAAGACCTCACTGCAGAGGCCGACACCATGCCTCTCTGGGGCCCTGGGTGCCCAAGCCGCCCGAGACGTCCTCGGAGAACGACCCTAATCCCAAAGCCGTGCGGTCACCCGGAATCCTGCTGACTCACCACAAGATGATGTGGTCACCGCACCGACTTGGGGCCCCCGAGCTCGGGGGCGTCCAGGGTAATGGAACAAGAGGAGGCGCCATGACATCTGGGGAGATCCCATGGCCCCCGCAATGGTATCCTCCCCCCCTGGTCGTCGCCCCCCCTCTTGGCCGCCCCCGAGCTCGGCCGCGGCAACGAGAAGCCCCCCTGGAGGTCTGGGAAGAATGGCAGATGCTCAGCGACCCCTCTGCCAAAGAGTCGGGCACCGGGAGCACGGCTCGAGGGGTCGAGAGGCCCCCAAGTAAGGCAGGCCTCGAGCTATCGAACTACCCACGTTTCTAGAAACTTTCCGGCTACTATCGAGCTATCGAACTGTCGAGCTTCAGTTGAGCACTTGCGAATCATGGGAATTCAACTGTTCATATGTCGCGCTATCCGCTCCGGGCTATCGCTGTGGATAGCTGGGTCCGAACAGGTTGCGGCAGTTGCGATACAGTGGAGACCCATACCAAGAAACACCCTGCTTGCCTCCAGGGTGCCCTGGATTTCTTGGGCTTCGATGGTTCTGCCATAGAAAGCGCGACGTTCCCACACCATGAAGTCAATGCACGTCCTGTGGTCTCAGGGTTGGGTTTCTCGTGGGAAGTTTTTTGTGGACGGGCCCCCGCTGTAATTCGAGGCGGGCCTCTCAGCGGGGCCCAGCGAGGCATCCCAGAATACCACAGAGCAACTCGATCCTCGAGCCTCGGAGCTCGATGGTCGGAGGGGGACCACCTGAGACAGCGGCGGCCCTCTCGCCCGGCCCAGATCCGCTCAACATCAGTCCCCAGAACCCGAGCATAGTCACGTAACACGAAGGAGCAGAATGATGATTATCAGAGCAAGACCATAATAACATCAACAATAATAGCAGGAGAACTACAACTAGGAATAATAATATAAAACTGAGAGCCCTCCTGGGGTTCACTCTGGCCCGTCACTTGAGGCGGGTCCAGCCGTGGCGACGAGAAGCCTCCAGCGGATCCCAGAAAAGAGCGGAAAATGCCAGGGAGGGCCGCCGCTGTCTGGACTTCATTACCTTCCTCCAGCGTGGGGAACGTCTCTAGTGGAATCAACAACAACATCAACACAAACTTTCGACGGTCCGCGCGGATTTCTTGGATCGGCGCTGGACCCTCCTCCCCCCCCCCCTGGCGCGCGGAGCGCGCAGGCGCCACCATTGGGGGCCCAGCGCCGATCCTAGAAATCCGTGCGGAGACCCGGCAGCTTATGTTTGTGCAATGGGTATTTCTCCGATGTGTCGACTGGCCCTCCTCCGAGATGGGGAACGTCCCTGGGGAAACATGAAGGCACAGATACCACTACTCCGCGGACTTCTCCTGGGGTGCGCTCTGACCAAACTCTCGGGGCAAATCCAGCCGGGGCGGCGAGGAATTCCCAGGGGGCCCAAAGCGGCGAAAACGAGGGAAGGGACCGCACAAGAAACCTTCCACAAGAAACCCAACCCTGAGAACTCAGGACGTCCATTGATTTCTGGTGTGGGAACCATCGAAATCCAAGAAACCAAGGGCACCCTGGAGGCAACCAGGGTGTTTCTAGGCATGGGTCTCCGCTGTACGACAGGTTCGTGTCGTGTCGACCCCAATATTGGTTCCTGTCATCGCGGGGATCGTTTCACCTTGAACGATCGGCCGTTTCCGAAACGGCACAGCGTTCCATATCGGCCGGCTTTGGAGCGCCAGCGGCGTCCAACGCTGAACGGAGGCTGCGAGGTCGCCGCCGGTCGACACGACGCGACCCTACCCTCGATAGCCTCTGCAACAGGGCGTGCGTTGTTCGTATGCGCCGCCTCCTCAACCTCCTGCTCCTCGTCCTCCGCCTCCTCCTCCTCCCTCTCATCCTCCTCAGCCTCCACCATCCTCCGTCTCCTCCCCTTCCTCCTCCTGCTTCTCCTCCCCCTCCTCCTACATTCCCTCTCCTTGTAAATAACCTCTCCCTGTCGCACCCCGCGGCCAATTTTTAGGGCGGGCCGGGCGTTTCGCTTGAGACTCCCTCACCATTTATGACCCTTACGCTTGAAAAACGGCAGCAGATTCACAGATGGAGGGCGGGTGGTTTTCAACATGTTCTCGCCTTAGCGCCGCGCGAATTGATTTTGAACATTTGCGAGAGCTTCACGGATTGAGGGCCACCCGTTTTCAAAATGTGGCTCTCGCCTTAGCGCCGCGCACATTCGTTAAACATTGACTAGAGTTTCATAGATTGTGAGCCACCCGTTTGAAACATGTGGCCCTCGACGTAGCGCCGCGCATATTCATAGTAAGCACTTGCAAGAGTTTCGCTGGTTGCCGGCCACCCGTTTTCAACGTGTGGCTCTCGACGTAGCACCGCGCAGATTCGTTTTTAAACGTTGCATGAATTTCGCTGATTGAGGGCCGCCCGTTTCCAAAATGTGGCTCTCGCCGCAGTGCCGCGCACACTCGCGCAAAACAAATTGCAAGAGTTTCACGGATTGAGGGTGGTTCTTCTTCGAACTGTGACTCTCACTGTAGCGCCGCGCACATTCATTCCAACAAATTGCAAGGATTTCGCGGATTCCCATGATCAGCGTACCAGAAATTTCGTTTTGGAAGCAGTCAGGATTATGAGGGTGCAACAATTACGGCGCTTCGCGGTGTTGGAGTCCCAGAAATTGCGTTCTGGCACGAATCAGGATCTCCAAGACTCGACAATGAAGCAGATCCGTGGCGTTGGGATCCCGAGAGCAAAGTTATGGCATACTTCTGGGTCTTCAAGCGGCTTTCTTCCAACGGGGCAATTCCTCCAGTGGACATGAAGCCTTGTGGGGGCCTATGGAGAGGGAGCTTGGGAGGAGGGTTTATGTCAATATCGTCGGTGACTCTTGGGTTTTCACTGGTCCTCCTCCTCCTCCTCCTCCGCTACAGGCCGCCCTCCTCCCCTCCGCCACAGGCCGCCACAGGCCGCCCTCCTCCGCCACGGGCCGCCCTCCTGCTCTTCCCCCTCCTGCTCCTCTTCCATCCTGGCTCTCTACCTCCACCTCCTCCTGCTCACCCTCCCTCCTCCTCCTCCTCCTCCTCCTCCTCCTCCTCCTCCTCCTCCTCCTCCTCCTCCTCCTCCTCCTCCTCCCTCCTCCTCCTCCTCCTCCCACTCCTCCTCCTCCTCCTCCTCCTCCGAGTCTCAGCAGCGGCGCAGCGGCCCACCCTGCGGGCGACCTCCGCGGGCCCCCGCGGGGGAAAAGTGCTGCCGAGGCCGTGGGCTCTCCCGCGACTGGCCCGTCCGCGGGCGCCTCGCGGGGCCCTGGCTGGGGGCTCAAGGAAAGGGTGCTTCGGCGGCAGGGAGCGGCTCCGGGAACGGCGAGGACGAACGATGCTCGATGGTCGGGGACGACGACGGTGATGAAGGTGGGCAAGAAGATGCGAACGATGACAATCACGATGGGGGAAATGATGATTACGAAGATCATGGTGAAGTAAGCAGTATGATGGTGGTAACGATGGTGATGATGGTGCGGCTGATGATGCTGCTGATGATGATTGTGAATGTGGTGCTGCTGATGATGATGCTGCTGCAGCTGCTGCTGCTGCTGATGATGATGATGATGATGATGATGCTGATGGATGATGAGGGTGATGATCTGGTGACGATAATAGCGAGGAGGAGGGTGACCAGAGGCGTTTTCTCGGTGACCGAAGATCCTCAACATCGAATCTCGGCGATCGAGAACGACGATGACAAACGGTCCTCGGCACACGTAGCGCCAGGGTGCAGGACAGGAGGGGGCGGTGAGGGCGGCACCGGCGCGCCCCCCCCATATCCGCCCGCCAGCTCCTCCCGACGGAGCGGTGCATCGGCACGGGGAAGCCGGTCCTCGGGACGGCCCGCGGCCGCGGGCTGCAGCCAAAGGACTCGAAGGAGGAGGAGGATCAGGAGGAGGATCATGATGAGGAGGAGGAGGAGGATGAGGAGGATGATCAGGAGGAGGAGGAGGAGGAGGAGGGAGAGAGGATCAGGAGGAGGAAGAGGAGGAGGAGAAGGAGGAGGAGGAAGGGAGGTTGAGGAGGATGATCAGGAGGAGGGTCAGGAGGAGGAGGATCAGGAGGAGGAGGAGGAAAAGGAGGAGGAGGATGTTTTGGGGTCCTCGCTCCAGGCACCTCCATCACCCTCCGTCCAGGGAGGGGCACGCGCACCGCTGCAGAGGGAGAAGCGGCGACGGGAGGAGGGGAACGAGGCGAAGGACGAGGAGGAGGAGGAGGAGGAGGAGGAGGAGGAGGAGGAGGAGGAGGTGGGGTGGGTCGGACGGAAGGGGGGGGGGGCGGGGGAGGAGGGAGAAGGGGGCGGGAAGAGGGAGGAGGGAGGTGGGTGAGACGCGGGTTTTAGCGATATGCTGTGCTTCGAAAAAGCCTCGCGTGCCAGTGCTGAAGCGATGGCGGGCAAAACTGCGAGGCCAGGCGCTGGAAAAGGCAGTATCCACACAGACGGTGCCGTGGCCAGGAGCCTGAACGTGCCAGGTAGCTGGGATATTGTAAAGCAGTGGCCAGCTATACCCATCTCTGAAAGATCTCCCGAAACATGGGATGACAACAGGTCGCGGCAAGAGAGAGGAGGCAATCATGATAAACAACTGCTGCTGCAATTGCACCAGTCAGCCTCAAATAACGACGCGGCCCATGGCTCACACGCCGACCCGGCCATGTCCCGATCCGCTCAGGTAACGACACTGCGCGTGCCGCTCCAGCAAGTTGATAATTCCCACCCAGGGGACCGCGACACCGCCCGAGCCCTGGCGGTGCACCAGGTGGGGCACCGCAAGGGCGCCGCAGGTAAAACATGCGACGAGAGACCAGTGTTCTCCCCCCCTGGCTCCCTACGGGCAAACAGGGACGACGAACGGGCTGCAACCGGCTTGTTTTCCTGGGAAGGGGCCCCAGCGGCACAGGTGCCGCAGAAGGGGGGAGGGAGGATCGGGCCAGGCGAAAGGGGGGGATAGCAGAGGGGGGTTTGAGAATCAGCTCGCGTAGCTGATTTTCCAGGCGCCTCCCGGAGGCGCTATGTATCGAGGAATGGACTCGGCGGCGGGGCCGAAACCAGCTGCATGCACCATATTTCGTACCCCCCCCCCTTCCCAATCCCCCCCTTTCGTCTGGCCCGAGAGGATGGGGGGGCAGGGGGCGGGAGGGTGGCAAGGTCAGCACATTGCCCCTGGCCAGGACCTTCCCTGGCCCAGGAGCGTTGTCAACGCCCTGCTGGCTTGGCCGGGGAGGCATCTGCACCGCTCCGGGCCCGGGGAGGGGCTGGCCACGGGCAGTGGCTATGTGTAGACCTCGTCGCCCGAAATACAATGCCTCCCTCCTCTCATGGGGCTCCACCAGGAGCGATTTGACGTCTTTTTGTCGATGTTGCCTTGCAGTCGTTCTGGATCCGAATCGGACCCCCCCCTCCTCCTGCTCCTCCCCCTTCTGCTGCTATCCTCCTCCTCCTCCTCCTCCTCCTCCTCCTCATCCTCCTCCTCCTCCTCCTGCTCCTCGTCGCCCGCCTCATCCTCCTGCTTCTTCCCTCATCCTCTCCTCCTTCGCCTCCTTCCTCCTCTTCCTGCTCCTCCTGCACCCCCCTGCCCTCCTTCTCCGTTCTCCGTCCTGCACCCTCCTCGACCTCCGTCCTCCATCCTCCGTAAGCGTCCTCCGCCCTCTCCGTTTTTTATTCCCTCCTGCCCTCCCTCCCTCCGCTCCTCCTCCTGGCTCCCTGTTCCTTTAGAGTCCTCGTCTCTCGTCCATCGCCGCTCGAGCACTTGTTCCTCGTCACTCCCCCGTCCTCCACTCTCCGTCCTGCGTCCTCCCTCCCTGCCTCCTTCGTCCTCAAACTTCCTTCCTCAGTCCTCCTCCGTCCTCTGTTCTCTGTCCTCTGTCCTCCTCCTCCTCCTCCGCCTCGTCCTCTTCTTTCCTTCCTTCTCCTCCTCCTCCTCCTCCTCCAACTTCTCCTCCTTCTCCTCCTCCTTCTTCTGCACTTCTCGCCCTCCCCCTTCACATCTCGATCCCTGTCGGCCTCGTTGTCGGGGTCGTGGTTGCATTCGTCAGTGCTTTCCTCGTCGTGGTGGTGGTGGTGGTCGTGGCCATGGACCATGGACCCCGACCCCTCGGGGGTGTGTTCTGGCCAGAATGTTAAAAAAGGGATCCAGTCGTAGCAACAAGGTGATCCCTGGACAGCCGAAAAGAACGAACAGCAGGCCCAGTGCTTGCCTATCTTTGACCCCCTAAACGGGAGTTCTTGCACTCGGGACCGGCTATATGTACACACGTGTAAATGGGTACGTAGGTACCCGGTGCAAGCTATGTGGTTCACTCTAATTGCTGCAGGCTGTCTGGAAATACTGCGTTGTACAATATATATATATATATATATGTATATATATATATATATGTGGTGCATGTTCTGTGATGCAGCATGAACGGTGGATTTATGCGCTGCACTATATGTAGATGTGCACATAAATACTGGCATATACAAACATACAACCGCACATATGTGCTTACTGTATATATATAGTGACCGTTTCTATGTGGCACAAGATGTATTGTGCAAGCTATGTGGCGCACTCCATGTGGCGCATCTGTGTGGTGCATCCAATGTGGAACATGCCGTGTTGTGCAAGCTATACGGTGCAGTTCCTGTGGTGCAAGCAATGTGGTGCATCCCATGTGTTGCAAGCTGTGCGGTGCAAACTGCGTCGGCAAACTTGCGCACAAGGCGCCCGCGAGGCACTCGCGGGCGCTCACAGGGAGGAAAGCTGGCACACCAACCCGGCGCACCAAGCGCCTACAAAAAGCCCACGGTAGCCCACTGGGCGACACCCTCAGACACCCACCAACACAAGGCGCTGACAAAGCGCCCATGGGCCCAGCGGTCGAAATCCCGACTCACGCACCAAGGGCACGCGGCGTCCACGAGGGTACCCTCTAGACGAAATTCTGACACTCTGGCCCACCCACACGAGGCACCCACAAAGTGCCCACCACCAGGCGACATTCCGACACACCCACCCAATTACTTAGAAAATGCAGCATGGAGAATAACTACACGTCCTTGTGCTCGTCGTGGTCATGGTGATGATGGTGTCGTCGTCGGCGTACGGCGTCGTCGTCGTGGTCGTCGTCGTTCACGTTGTCGTGACGACACCCGTGGAGTCCTCGTCGACCGTGGTTCATTATTTCAGGATGAAACGCCTAAGTCTATTAGATTTACTGATTGGCCTCAGCTAATAATCTCATGGCGGAGGTGTCGATCCCGCCCCCGCTCCGTTGTTATCTTCCCAGCATGAAGACCTCGGCTCACTATTCAGAAGTACGTAGTAAACCGTGGTGGAAAGAACATATTTAAAAAAGGAATCAAGCCGACCGCCCCCCCTGCTCGATCATTACGATTTCGGCATAAACAAACCCAGTATATACTGTCACGGAAAAACAAACCAATTGTCTTATTCGAACATCATGGACCTCCCCTGGTGACGGGGGGTTTGGGGGAACATAATCGTTAGCATCATTCCAACATAATAAACCCAACACGTTGTATTGGGGTTCTGGAGCTGGCTGCCCCAACACATTATACAGTATACACAGAAATTCATACTGTTCCAGGGGGAACATGAGCAACTCCGGCTTCTACTCCCAGACCATTACCAGACTCAATTTATGATGCTCCAGGAGGAACAATATAAACCCCAGTGACTATTCCCGGAACAGCATAACAAAACCAGGTTAATATCTATGTGATGTCCTTCCTGGCCGACGTCGTCGTCGTCGTCGTCGTCGGCATCGGCGTCGTCGTCGGCGTCGGCGTCGGCGCCGGCCGTCGTCGGCGTCGTGGGCATCGTCGTCGTCGTCGTCGGCGTCGCCTGTGTCGTCGTCGTCGTCGTCGACGTCGTCGGCGTCGTCGTCGTCGGGGTCGCCTGTGTCGTCGTCGTCGGCGTCGTCGTCGGCGTCGTCGTCGTCGTCGCCTGTGTCGGCGTCGCTGGCGTCGGCGTCGCCGTCGTCGACGGCGTCGTCGTCGCCGTCGGCGGCGCCGCCGGCCCACCCCCGAGGGCTCCGCGGGGCGGGCGGCAGCAGGTTGCCCGGCTCCGCGCCGTCGGGCTGCACGCCGGCGGGGGCGGCGCGCTCCGCGACGCCGGCTGGGGGCGGGGCGGCGCGTGTCGGCCGTGGCGCCTCGCTCGCTCCTGGCTCCTCGCTCGCCGCACCTCGCTGCGCCTCGCTCCGTCCTCGCTCCTCCTCGGCCCTCTGCTTCCTCGTCGTGCGCTTCCTCCTCGTGCCTCGCCGTCTCCTCCCCTTCCTTCTTCCTCCGTTGACCTCGTTCCGCACTCCTCCTCCTCCTCCTCGCTCCTCGCCTCCTCTTCCTTCCTCCTTCCTCCTCGCTCCACGCTCCTCATCATTCTCCGCGATTTTCGCTTTCTCATCCTTCTTCCTCCTTGCGTCGCCTCGCCCCGCACTCCTCATTCCTCACTCCTCGCCTCCTCTTCCGTCGTCCTCCCTCGTCCTCGTTCCGCATTTCTCATTAGCTCCTCTTCTTCCTCCTCGTACTCTTTGACGCTGCGCAAACTCAAGCAACAGAGCTTGAGCGTATTCGTGCAACACCGACTTGGGCGAGGCGGCCTGACTAACATAATAATATGAGTTCGCGTCGACGGTGAGGAGAAAGGCAAGGTAAGCGCACACTGTAAGCCCGCAAAGGCACAAAATAGGCGCGCAGCAGGTCGTTGATGGAGATGAGCGAGGCTGACCACAATACATATCTACAAGTGGAGGCTTGCCCACAAGAAACCCTCCACAAGAAGCCCAACCCTGAGACCCCAGGACGTCCACTGGATTTTGCTGTGGGAACGTCACGTCTTCCACAACCGAACCATCGAAACGCAAGAAACCAAGGGCACCCTGGAGGCAAACAGGTTTTTGTTTTGGGCATGGGCCTCCACTGTATCAGGGAGTCGTATTTGGATGAAAGCGACATGCAAGTATGCCGATATCGCGGGATGCGGGCGGAAGCTGTGCATGTACTTGAGCTGGGCCTGGGAGTGGGCTGGGCTCGCGGGTAGATTCGCCCTGTGCTGGGGAGGGTGCCGCGCTGGGCTCAGGAGCTGGTGGGCGCCACCGCCTCCTGTTCCTCCTCCTCTTCCTCCTCATCCTCCCTCCTACTCCTCCTCCTCCTCCTCCTCCTCCTCCTCCTCCTCCCTCCTCCTCCTCCTCCTCCTCCTCCTCCTCCTCCTCCTCCTCCTCCTCCTCCCTCCTCCTCTCCTCCTCCTTCCTCCTCCCCCATCTCCTCCTCCTCCTCCTCCTCCTCCTCCTCCTCCTCCTCCTCCTCCTCTTGAGCAGGGACCGACCGTCCCGGCACTTCTGTAGTCCCACTACGAGATGTTCTAAGAACCCCCCAAATGTTCTGATAACGACATCAATGTTCTTAGAACATTAGCCCGATGTGTTAAAACAAGACAGACTTCGCCAACCATGTTCTAAGAACACCTCGTGGAAACCACACAAGGTTCTTATAACATTCTTTGGTGGGACTATATGCGAGCCAGGACGCTTCGCCACTGCTTGATCCTCCTCCTCCTCCTCCCCCTCCTCCTCCTCCTCCTCCTCCGCCTCCTCCTCACTTCTCTTCCGCCTCCTCCTCCAGCTGGGGCCGGCACTGGGTTCTTTCTCATGTGTGCTTCATCCTGCGGCAGGGGGCGCGTGACGTCGCCTCCTTCACAGGGCTGTGCATGCTAGCAGCGGCACTGCCGAGGCGTAGCCAAAGCCTCTGCTGCACGTGTTCTGCACGGTTTCCCCCGGGGCCGGAGGCGACCCGAGGAGGAGGAGGAGGAGGAGGAGGAGGAGGGGGAGGGAGGAGGAGGAGGAGGAGGAGGAGGAGGAGGAGGAGGAGGAGGAGGAGGAGGACTGGAACCAGCCGCGCGCGCTCCGCTCCAGGCCCAACTGAGCTGAACACCGCTCCAGAGGACTTCCGCGGCGCATGGCGCAGGAGGGAGAGCGGACAACTAACAGTTGCACGCAATGGCGGGACATATGGACAGAGGACGGGGGAAGGCATAGCCTCGGGGCTCGCAAACTTTAGGTTGGGCATGCCCCGTACAAGCGCATTTTGGACGAACGATCAAACATATTGAAAACACATTCAAAATATAGGCAAACGAATAGTCGACAACTCGTCCCCAGACTATTTGTTTATACGTTTTTTGATGCTCCTCCTGTAGAGGAACATACCCGACTTAAAACTAATCGTTACAAGCAATGGCGGAACAGAGGGACAGGGGAAGGGGGAAAGGTAGAGCCTCGGGGCTCGCAAGCTGTGAAAGAAACTGGCTGAAGACTCTCTTAACTAGAAGGCAGAGCCGTCGAACACAGCTCGTCCACGGCGAAAGAGAGAGCATCAGACGTGGGCCCCCACCGTGAACAACTGATAGGTTGACTGATGCGCTGTTGTCCTAATGCCATGCTCCACTCTCACCTGGGCGGCTGGGTGGTTGGGGTGGCCGGGCCCCCCCGTTTCTGGGGCCGGGAAGAGCAAGACGAGAAGAGATAAGAAGGAGGAGGAGGAGGAGGAGGAGGAGGAGGAGGAGGGAGGAGGAGGAGGAGGAGGAGGTGGAGGTAGAGGACCAGGATGGAATAGGAGCAGGAGGGGGAAGAGCAGAGGAAGGGGCTCGGGACAGGACCAGGAGGAGTGGTGCTGCACAGGAGGAGAGGATGGAGTCGGGGGCGAAGGGGGGTAATGACGAGGACGAAAGAAGCGGAGGAAACAGGAGGCTGAGGAAGAAGGCGGAGGAAGAGGCGGAGGAGGAGGAGGACGGGAAGGACTGTAAACAGGAAGGGAAGGCGGAGGAGGATGAGGTCGGAGAACATCGGGGAGTAGGGTAGGAGAAGGAGGAGTCGTAGGTAGAGGATGAGGAGGAGGAAGAGGATGATGAGGAGGAGAAGGAGGAGGAGGAGGAGGAGGAGGAGCAGGAGGCAGCAAGACAAGGAGGACAGGGTGAACACATGAGAACAGTTAACTGAGGAGGATGAGTAGAAAGCGGCGGAGGAGAAGCAGAAAGAGGAGCACGAAGAGGAGCGAACTCCTGACACGCACCCTGGTATCTCGTCGCCCTCCATCTCTGGCAGCGCATCTATCTCCGGATGAGCCGTCGCGTCAGCATCATCGAGGACACGGAGAGCTCGCGGTGGAGCGGACACGCCTGGCACGGCGGGGGGAGAGCAGCACAGCACATCACTCGTGCGCGAAGACTTGTTGCTGTGAGTCGGGGGCGCGTTGGCCAACTTCTGAAGCCATGAGGCCCAAATAAGGATAATCTCTTTTAGACGAGCGCGTTCCACTACTCGCAAAGTGACTACTCGCAAATGGCCTGGATGCGCCTCGGGGGATCTACGATAAGTTACATCGAAGTGTACCTGTGTTTTTGTTTCTGACATTTGCGAGTAGGCACTTTACGAGTAGTGGAACGCGCTCGGCGATCTTGGAGGCCAAACTGTTTAAGATCTGCCGCCCTCCCGCCGACGCATGCGCCGCCGTCTTACTTCCGCCTGCTCTCCGCAGGAAGGCGAGATGCGCCAGAGGCGAGGCCCCCGCAGGAGCGCGCCACATACTCGGGGGCGGCCAAGAAGGGGGCGTCCAGGAGGGGGGGTGCCAATCGTGGCCGGCGGCATGTGCGCGGCACAAGCGGGGGCCAGGGACGTGATGAATGAGAAGAGGCGCCATGAGATCTGGGGGAAACATCATGGCCCACGCCACGATATCCCCCCCCCTAGTCATCCACCCCCTTCTTTGCCGCCCCCGACATACACACCGCTCATTTCTAATCGTGCTATTCCTGATTGTGCTCGCTGCTGAGTGTTCCTGGCCCCCTGGTGGCCAGGAAGGGGCCCAGAAGCAGAACAATCGGAAATGAAAGGGTCTTGGCCCCCCAGAAGATCAGAGAACTTCCGAAGGGTTGGAGATGCACAGCGTGTGCACGCGAGGAGCCCTTCGCGCTCGACCGCGGAGCCACGCTGCGCGAGGCTCGGACCTCGCGCGGCGCGTCCGGAGCGCCCGCACAGAGGAGGGGCGCCCGCGGAGCGCCCGCGGGGCCTCCCACGAAGAGCCTCCGGGCCGGCCCTCCGCCGAGGGCGAGCCGTGCCGAGGGGCCCTCCGCCGAGGGCCCTCCGCCGAGGGCCCTCCGCGGAGGGCGAGCGCGCGCCACGGGCGCGAGCAGCTCGTGCTGCAGCACATCGGGGTCGGGGCGGGCGCGTCCCCCATACAGGCGAGCTTCTGGGCGAAACATGGAACATGCTCAAGACATGCTCCAGCAACGCTGAGAAGCATGTGAGAGAAGCCGTCCCGGGGCCATGTGTGGGCTATTCTTGGATAGTCCTCCTGTAGAGGGACACGCCCGACGTACGACATCAGGGGCGCGTTGCCGCGCCGATCCTGACCTCGTGGGGCGCCCCTCAGGTCGGGCCTGTCCTCCTACAGGGGGGATTTGGGGCGAAAAAATAAACATACTCAAACCATATTCCCCAAATGCTCGGAGATACTGAAAAAATAGTCCCCAGACAATGTTTTGACTATTGTTGGGTATGCCCCCTGTAGAGGGACAGGCCCGACGGAAGGCGCCAGAGAAGCTCCCAGGGGTGCCCAGGGAGCATCCCAAGCGTCCCCACGAGAGGAGCCCGCGGGCGGGCCTGTCTCTTCCTCCCACTCGGCGCACCCTGTCCTCTGATGCTATGCTTTCGGCTGTGACGTCGGCCCCCGTGTCCTCGACCGCTTTCTGGGGGGGGATGGATCTCCATCCTCAATCACGAAGAGGCCCGGGGACACACAAACAAATACACACACAAATAAGACGATCCCCCATATTTTTCCATCTTTATGGGATTTTCGTCCCCCCCACTTCCTATATTTTCTGAGATTATCTAGGGAATTGACACAACAAATTGGGTCTGTGTGTTTTCCCCCCTCCTGAAATCACTTGTGATGGTCCCAGGGCCAGGAAACAATCTCCGGCCTGGACGCCCGAGATGTGTACGGAAAAATGGTGTGATGCCCCAACCACAGCTGTTGTCCAAAACAGGTATCGGCCGATGTTGCGCAGGCGGCCGCCCATCTCAATTGGGGAACGCCCTCGCCGGCACCGGTAGCGAATCCTGCTCGAAATCAACGAGAAGAACTGCCGGTCTTTGTCCCAATTCTAGCCGTATCCACTTCGCTGGTGCTGATCCTGAGGCCGGAATCTACAGCCAACCTGTATAAGAAGGATGCGCGAGAAGGATGCAAGGGCCTTGGACACCCATTTCGAAGCTCTTTGAGCGGGGCGCGGCCCACGACAGTGGCCAAGTATGGACCGCGGAGGCAAGCATGCAAGGGTAATTCCTTTTTTGGGAAGGGTGTCCCTCCTTGCTGTGCGGGTTGACTGCATCAAACGCCGGCTGCCGCGGTTTTCTGGCGTCGCGCGGTGTTCTGGTTTCTGGGGGGAGGAGGGAGGGAGGGAGAGAGGGAGGGAGGGGGAGGGAGGGAGAGGGAGGGAGGGAGGAGGGAGGGAGGGAGGGAGGAGAGGGAGGGAGGGGAGGGAGGAGGGGGGAGGGAGGGAGGGAGGGAGGAGGGAGGGAGGGAGGGGAGGGAGGGAGGAGGAGGAGGAGGAGGAGGAGGAGGAGGAGGAGGGAGGAGGAGGAGAGGAGGAGGAGGAGGAGGAAGGAGCAGGGAGGAGGGAGGAGGAGGAGGAGGAGGAGGAGAGAGGAGGAGGAGGAGGAGGAGGAGGAGGAGGAAAGGGGGAGGAGGAGCGCGAGACGAAGTGGAGGAGGAGGAGGAGGAGGAGGAGGAGGAGGAGGAGGAGGAGGAGGAGGAGGAGGAGGGGAGAGGGGAGGAGGGGGCGGGCGAGCTGCTTGGGCGCCAGGGGGCTTGCCAGGGGCGTCCGCGGCCTCCGCCCCGGCGGCTAACGCCGAGAGATGTCTGGGCTTTGGGCGGCGGGGGCGGCCGCCTCCCCTCTTGCGGAGGGCGGCGGCGGGAGCAGGCCCAGGGGGGCCGTGCACGCAGCAGCGCCCTGGGTGAGGGCGAACTTCGGCGGCGAGCGAGGGGGGTAAATGAGAAGCAGCAGGCCTTTAAGGGGGCCCAGGGACACAAATAAATAGACACACATGCCCAGATGCCCCATATTCTTTCATATGTTCTGGACTTTCGTCTTCCCCCCCACTTCCCATATTTTCCTATATATTGCCCTTGGGATTGACGATTATTTGTGTCTGTGTGTGTTTTCCTCTCCTGAGCCTTCTCAGAAGGCGCCGGGACTTTTCAGAAGCTATGCCCTCGCGCCTCCTGAGAAGTGCTATCTCTGCGTCTTCGGGGAAGGCGCCGGAGACTTCTGAGAAGGCCGGGGGACTTCCGAGCCTTCTGAGAAGGCCCGCCCCTTTCTCACTTCCCCCCCGGGCTCGCCGCCGAGAACTAACTGGAACTCTAGACGCTCCGACGGCGCCTCCAAAGGGTCTCCCAAGAAGGCCCCGGGAGCTGAACGGTTTTTTTAATCTTCCAAGGTTTTGGAAAAATTTGGGCGTCACCACCTTCTCAAGCCTCCGACTGCCCAAACCGGCCCCAGAGGCCCCCAACACGGCCCCAAGCCTCGGTTTATGGGGGCTGGCGATGGGGAGATACTCGGGGGGGCCGTTCACGCGGCAGCATCCTGGGTGATGATGAGTAGGTTGGGATGCGGGCCTGTTCGTGTGCGTCGTCGGCGTCTTTGAGATTACTTAGTTGATCTCCGTTTCCCGAATCCTGCCCAGCGGCAGCCCGCCATTTCCTTGGTATCTCTTCCTGTGCTAGTTTCTGAACAGCCATCCTACGTGAAGAAAACTTTGGACTTCCGAGCACGGATCACAAACCTGCAATATCGGGGCCCCAAAAAGGACGAACGTGCGCAGCCGGGTACATGAACATACCCCCTTGGCTCGCGAGTCCGCCCTCGTGTCACGAACGCTCGCGTAGCGTGCTCTCTCGACGTCTGTGCGGGTTCGTGCGCGCGTGCATCTTTGCCTCGCTCCTGATAGGACAGCTTACTGGAAGGCCGGAGGGCGCCTGAGAAGCCCCCCAGCTGCCTTCTTCGAACGCCGCCCCTCGCACCACACACTGCCCCTGCTGCGCGCCGCCAGCTCCAAGCTCGAGGATCGACTCTTTGCTCGGCGCGGTCGGTGTCATTCTTGGGCCCCTGGAGGCCTTCGGGAACTTACCAGAGGACCTCCAGGGGGGACCTCGAGAGCTCTGAGAAGCCAAGACCTGCCCCCGTTGCACCTTCTAATCCAATGTCTCCCCCTGCTTGTTTTGCCCTCCAGAGGCCTCCAGGGGGGAGCTGGAGAGTTCTGAGGAGCTACAGAAAATCTGCCCATGCTGCATCCGCCAATATGCCTCCTCCTAGTCCCTTGTGTGTGTGTGTGTGTGTGTCTGAATGGACGCGCGCGCTTCACTGCCTGCGCTCGACTTTCTACGCCCCGTCGCCGCGCGCGGGGCCGCGACGCCAAAGAGTGTGTGTGTTTGTGTGACAGAAGGGTGACCTGGACAGATGCCCCTCCCCCCTTCCTGGGCCTCCTAGACGCTCTCCACAGCGTTCCCTCGGCCGAATATCCACGGGATCTGGCTCCCAAACCTTGACCGCGAGGGCGTGGATATGGATATGTTCCCCGCCAGTGATGTACAGTAGGGGCCCGACCACAAGAAACACCTTCCACAAGAAGCCCAGCCCTGAGACCCCAGGACGCTCATCCATTGTCGGGGTAGGCACGTCACGCTGTCAATGGCAAAGCCATCGAGACCCAAGAAACCCAGGGCACCCTGGAGGCAAGCAGGGTGTTTTGTGGCTTAGGTCGGGCGTGTCCTCCTGCAGGCGGACTTTGGACGACAAATAAAAAACCCACATGCTCAAACATAGTCAAACATACACACAGCATCGCCCCCATATTATTTTTACCATTTGGGAAGATCCCCCCTGTAGAGGGACAGGCCCGACTTAATCTTGGAGGCAAGCAGGGTGCTTCTTGGCACGGGCCCCCACTGCAGGTCGCCGCGGCCGCCCCGGCCTGCGGCGGCGGCGCCCTGCCGGAGCTGCTTGAACAGCGACGGGGGGCGCCGCTTCCCCACGACGCCGCCCAGCTGGCCGTCCTCTCCGAGAGGGGGGGGGGGGCCGTCGGCCTCTTTGCGACTCCCTCCCTCCGTCCCTGCCTGCCTCCCTTCCCCCCTCCCCTCCCTCCTGCCTTCCCTCCCTCCTGCCTTCCCTCCCTCCTGCCTTCCCTCCCTCCCTCCTCTCCCCCCGTATTCCCGCCTCCATCCCACCGTCCTCCCTCCTCCCACCTCCTCTGATGCAGCCTGGCGTGCTGCTCAGGCCCGCAGCTCAAACACTGCACAGTCAACTCAGGGAGTTCGCTGCTCACCCCGTCAACACCTTTTGCAATAGGTCGCAGCACGGCCGGAAAGATCAAATGAGCACCATCTGCTGCTAGCAGCTCCGCGCGAGTGCAGCTGCGACCACTGGGCCAATATGACTACGGTGCAATGCGCGTGGGAGGAGAAGGAAGAGGGGAGGGGGCAGGAAGGAAGGAGACGAGACGAGATACAGGCAGATCAAGCGACAATCACAACACTGACAATGCCTCTCGCAATTTTTGGGCAAGCTCGTACGACGGCTCTCCACGACTTGCCAGGCTTCCAATGATAAACACGCTCCAGAGGGTGACAGGCTCCGACGGATGGCGAAGACGAGCGAAAGCCTGGCCAATGGCAATCATACCTGCAAAACTCACCCTTTCATCTTGCATGGGGAGGTTCCCTGACCGCGCATGCGCCGCCAGGCGCATGAGGATCCGAAAACTAATGTCTAGATTGCAGTCACACCTGACCTAGCCGAGAGCGGACCAGAGCACAGCGAAGATGTCTGCCCCAATTAGGAATGTACGGTCAGTTCGTGACGCACCCCACCGCACACACGCTAAAGAGACGGTACATCATGTCCCTCACGCCACACTTCGAAACAGACAATCAAGAGCCATATTCAGAAACAGTCTTCATCAATGCCAAACTGCCTCCTCCTTCCTCCCTCCTCCTCCTCCTCCTCCTCCCTCCTTCCTCCAGCTAACCCCCATCCTCCTTCCTCCCTCCTCATCCCCTTCCCCTCGCCCTCCTCCTCGCCCTCCCTCCTCCTCCTCCTCCTCCTCTTCCTCCTCCTTCTGCCTCCTCCCTCCCTCGTAGCATCCTCCTCCCTCCTCCTCCTCCTCAGCCTCCTCTTTCTGCTTGTCCCTCCCTCCCTCCCTCCCTTCCTTCCTCTCTCCCTCCCGGCCCCCTCCTTCTCTTCCTCTTACTCCTTCTTCTCCTCCTCGAAGCCACAAGCCTCGAAGCTTCGAAGCTACGGGCCGTGGTGCCATCCACGTTGCGCTGCCCAATCCCCACCCCTCCCGGCTGCCTGCGCCGCCGAGGGGGGCGGAGGAGAAGCAGCACCCAGCAGATGCGAGAAGGAAGGCGCCAATGAGAGGGGAAAGCGGGGGAGGTCCTGAGCATACCAAAGGAGGAGGAGAGGCGAAACGGAAGGCGCCAATGAGGGGGGAACGTGGGGAAGGACCTGAGGACCTGAACGTACCAAGGGAGGAGACGAGGCGCAGGACCTGCGGGTGCCTGCGCCTGCATGCGGGGCAAGAGCCACGTCCTCGAGCGGGAACTCCGCGCTGAAAGACCACGTGGCCGGCGTCGAGGTGAGAGCCCTCCGAGCCGCCAGCATGGATCCACAATCATTCTTCTGTAGACGCAAAACCTTCGCCCTCCGCGCCGCGTCCCCCCACCGACGGCCTCCGAGGGCCGCCAGAGCAGCCGCCAGAGGATCGCTGGGAGGCGGCCCGACGGCCGTCGGAGACTGCCGACGTCCGCCTGAAGACCACCAGGAGATGTCCAGAAGGCCACCCAAAGGCCGCCGATGGTTGCATTCCTCCTCCTCCTCCTCCTCCTCCTCCTCCTCCCTCCTCCTCCTCCTCCTCTCTCCTCCTCCTCCTCCTCCTCCTCCTCCTCCTCCTCCTCCTCCTCCTCCTCCCTTCTCCTCCTCCTCTAAAAAGCGCGGGCGGTCCTCGCTGGCTCCGAGGGCTGCCTCGGCAACAGGGCCTGGGGAAACAGGCGAATCGTCGTCGTCGGCGCCGCCGCCGCCGCCACTGCCGTTGCCGTCGCCGCCATTGCCGCTGCCGTCGTCGCCGGCGTCGTCGTCGCCATCGCCGCCGCCGTCGTCGCGGTCGTGGTCGTCGTCGATCGTCGTCCTTGGATGTTTTCTTTTGAAAAAGGGGGGCTGGCATTATCTTCCTCGAAATCGCTGATCCGACCGCGCTCCAGGAGAGGTGCTAAGGCCAATTTGTCAGGAGGGGGAAATAAGGAAAACACACAAGCACACGCTGCTCTCAATGACAATAGCAGACAATGAGACAATATGAGAAATGTAAAGGAAAAGGGGCATTCAGGAACTACGGTGACACTGGTGACACATGAGGAATCCTGGAATGTATATCGATTTGCTTGTCTTCCTGGGCCCCTTAACTTGATGCCGTCGTCGTCGTCGTCGTCGTCGTCGTCGTCGTCGTGGTCGTCCCAGAGTCCTGGAATATCCCACACGTCTGTGGGGAAGAGGTATTGTGCGGTGCTGCTGATCGTAGATGGCGACGGCCGTAGTATGCATGACCGCGGCGGATGTGTGGCGCCATCTGGCAGCGTCGGTGGCATCCTGTGGGATGCTGTGCAACCAAGCCACCGCTGTGGCGATGTCGTCGGCATGTCGGTTGAAGGCCTCCGCGATGGGCGTGATGCGTCCGTCGTTGATGCCCTGCTCACAGAGGTCGAACTTCCGGATTCTGACGCGGGTCGGGTTCGGCGTGAAGCGCCCGCTGGATTCTCTGCCAAGAAAGTCCGACTGCGGTCCGACGCACTGAGGCGGCTTACCCCGCAGGCGGTCTTCGAGCTCCTGGCCATCGCTCGGACGTCCATGTCCTGTGCTTTCTTCGGTTTCGTGCGTGGCTTTTTCGCAGGATGATCCAGGATGCTTTTTAATCATCTCCGCCGAGAAAAAGTGCACCCGTCCGAGCGATACCAAGGTCCTCCCACCACAGCTTGGCTGCCCGCGGAGACGTGCACGCGCCACTCGGCAGCGGCCACGAGGTGAAGCCTGCCGAGAGCTTCGGCACGCTGCGCGGACCGAGCGGAGGCCGCGCGGTGCCATCGCGCGGAGCGGCTGAGCCAGTGGCCTGGCCCGCGGTGCACTCCGAGCCCCGCCCTGTGCAGGAGGGGCTAAAGCTTGACGAGAACACGTTCTGTCGGTGGCGGCGTAGGCTTGTGGATGCCACGACAATGGACACCCTACCAGTCCTATCATGGATTTAAAATTGTGTTTAACATGTCGGGAACATGTCCTGAACATGTTTAAACAATGTGTTTTGTTAAACCAATAGTTGGTACAGTATTAACATATGTTCTAGACATCTGGAAAGTATTTGCCACCATGCCTCCTCTCCATTGATCGTCCTCCACAAGCGTAGACCCATCTGGCACCGAATTCGTCGGTGTATTCTTGGTAATCGTCGTCTTCGGCGTTCCACTGGGGCTGTCTGGGGATCGGCTCTGAGAGTCCGTCCTCCGCGAGGGTGGCCTGAACGTCGAGCAGGGTGGGATCCCTTCCTCGTCCAGGAGGCTATAGTGCCCGATACGCGGTGGGAGATTCTACCACTGTTGCTCGGTTATCGTGGCCTTGACGGCAATCCGCTGGTTCGCCCAGCAAGGCCGTCTCAAAACGGTGCGTTCCTAGGACTCTTCTTCTTGATCGCACCACCTGCACAACAAGGGATGGGTCAGCCGAGATACAGGCTTCCACTTTCCTCTGTCGAGAACGGTCACCTCCCCAAATATTGTTGCAGAAAGACCCGAATTGCCATTCCGTGCATTTGGCTGTGCGTTTGGTCCTGGGAAGCCAATTGTTGGCAAAATAACAGAGGCCCTGCTAGACAACGGCGACGGCTCCTAGATCGTGCGTGATCATAGAGGGGTGCGCTGGAGAACATGTCTCATGTGCGAGGCGCGAAGCATGTGGATGAAAAGGCCGGCTGGCTCGTGGATCCATCAGAGTCGGGCGCCCCAGTCGTCAGACATGATGCCAAACTTGGGCCATGCCTAGTCGAGTTGGGCGAAGGTTTGCCACACTCTGCCGACGGGAACCCCCCCTTGGACATTTTGCGTGTGTGACCGTGGCGCGACTCGGCTGGCTTTTGCGTTGAGACTGGAGGAGGCGAGAGGAGGAGGAGGAGGAGGAGGAGGAGGAGGAGGAGGAGGAGGAGTGCACCCAAGCCCAGGTCAGTGCAGCCCTGGCCCTTCAGGATCTGGGCTTGGGTGGCCATCGCCATCTTTTGTATGGCTACGAAGAGGGAGCTGGAAGGGTTCGTTGCAACACCGTTGGTGCGTCTTGGGCTTGCACTGCTCCTCATCCTCCTCCCCGCTCCTCTTCCTCCTCCTCTTCCTCCTCCCTCCTCCTCCTCCTCCTCCTCCTCCTCCTCCTCCTCCCTCCTCCTTATCTCCTTTCTCCCCTCCTCCTCCTCCTCCTTCCTCCTCCTCCTCCTCCTCCTCCTCCTCCTCCTCCTCCTCCTCCTCCCACCGTCCCTCGGTGCGAAAATCCGTCTCTGACTGACTGACCCCGTCCCTCGAGCCCCGGGGGGGCCGCCCGCGGGCCGCGCGCCGACGGCCCGCGCCTGCCAGGTCGCGCCGGGGCACGCGGACACAGCTCGCCGACGCAGGCTGCCTCGGCGGGCAGGGCGCCCTCCCCTTCTGGGCGGTGCGGGAGGGCGGAGGGGCCGCCAAGTGCGGGCCGCGAGAGGCTGCAGCGCGGGGGGCGGGCCGCGGGATGCTGCCGAAGCACCCAGCTGACCGGAACGGGCCGAAGGGCGAAGAATCCGTGGAGGCCACAGGCGTCGAAAGCGGCACGGCTCATGAAAACATATCCTGGCGAAGGGCCCAACCATATGCATGCAGTTGTGAATGACGCGTTGTGGGTGCCGCTTTCGGTGGAGCTCCCTATGAGGCCACGAAGCGCTGTCCTGGGCGTGGCTGACGCATGCGGGCGGTGCCTCTCGCTGGAGCTCCCGATGAGGCCACGAAGCGCTGTACTGGTTGGGTGACACGCATGCGGGCGGCGCCGCTGTTTTTTTTTTGTGGAGCTCCCTACGGGGCCACGAAACGCTGCAGTGGGTGGTGGCCGACGCATACGGGCGGTGCCACTGGGACCTTCGGTGGAGCTCCCTATGGGGCCACGAGAGGGGGGGACGCATGCGGGCTGTGCCAGTGGGGCCTTCGGTGAAGCTCCCTATGGGCCCACGAAACGATGCACTGGGTAGGGGTCGCATGCGGGCGGGCCACTGGAGCTCCCTACGGGGCCGCGAAACGCTATAGTGAGTGGTGGACGACGCATGCGGGCAGTGCCGCTGGGGCCTTGGGTGGAGCTCTATCTGGGTCCACGAAGCGCTCTACTGGGTGTGGCGGACCCCTTGGCCACCCCCACTGGGGCCGCAGGTGGAGCTCCCTATGGGGCCACGAGGCGCTGTACTGGGTGTGGCGGACGCATGTGTCCACCCCCACTGGGGCATTGGGTTGAGCTCCCTATGGGGCCACGAAACGATGCACTGGGTGTGGTGGACGCATGTGGCCACCACCGCTGGGGCCTTACGTGGAGCTCCCAGTTGGGCCACGAAACGCTGTACTGGGTGTGGCGGACGCATTTGGCCACCACCACGTGGGGCTCCCTATGCGCCCACGAGTGTGTGTGTGTGTGTGTGTGTGTGTCCACCCCAACTGACGCCGCAGGTGGAGCTCCCTATGAGGCCACGAGGCGCTGTGCTGGGTGTGGCGGACGCATGTGGCCACCCCCACTGGGTCGCAGGTGGAGCTCCCTATGGGGCCACGAAGCGCTGTACTGGGTGTGGCGGGCGCATGTGTCGACCCCCACTGGGGCATTGGGTGGAGCTCCCTATGGGGCCACGAGGCGCTGTACTCGGCGCGGCGGACGCATGTGGCCACCCCCACTGGGGCCGCAGCTAGAGCTCCCTATGGGGCCCCGAAGCGCTGTACTGGGCGCGGCGGACGCATGTGGCCACCCCCACTGGGGCCGCAGGTGGAGCTCCCTATTGGGCCACGAAGCGCTGTACCCGGCGCGGCGGACGCATGTGGCCACCCCCCACTCGGCGATTGAGTTGAGCTCCCTATGGGCCACGAAGCGCTGTACTCGGCGCGGCGGGCGCATGTGGCCACCCCCACTGGGGCCGCAGGTGGAGCTCCCTATGGGGCCACGAGGCGCTGTACTGGGTGTGGCGGACGCATGTGTCCACCCCCACTGGGGCATTGGGTTGAGCTCCCTATGGGCCCGCGAAACGCTGTACTGGGTGTGATGGTGGTGCTGATGCTGATGCTGATGCTGATGCTGATGCTGATGCTGATGCTGATGATGATGGTGATGATGTTGTTGTTGATGATGATGATCACGATGATGATGATGATGATGATGATGATGATGATGATGATGGTGATGATGATGATGATGATGATGATGATGATGATGATGATGATGATGATGATGATGATGATGAGAGGAGGGTGGAGGAGGAGGAAGAAACGCGGGTCTCTTCAAAACGAGGACCCAACACCACATGATGACTGGGAACAAAAACATATGTGGCTCCCCAGTACTCACCACAACATGATTCTTTGGCAAGCTCCAGTGGCCCCCAAGGTTCCTCGCCGGCCCCGTGGAGGGGAACACAGCCATCGTGTTACCATGAGGAAAACGAGATAGGGAACGAAGGGGGCTCCCCGAGCTGGATCTGAGGAGCGGCCCGACAATCAGAGCTCCTCCTGATCCTGGAGTGGCCCTTATTTTGAGGTTTGGCCGTACGGCTGGCGCGCCTGACAGGTCGCGCTGGACACGCGGGCGCACCTCGCCGCCAGCGGCCCCCTCAGCGGGCCAATACCCTTCTCAACGGTGTTGGGGGCCACGGGGTGGGTCCTGTGGAAAGGAGGATGTCCCCTACGGCAGGTTCACGTCGCGATGACGTCGGCGTTGGTTTCTGCCACCGCGTGGGTCGTCCTGAACGATCGTGGTTCCTCGATAGCACAGATCGTTCGATATCGGCCGATTCTGCGCCACTGGCGACAATCTACCTCGAACGCCCGCGCTGGGGTCGCCGCCGCGTTAACGCGGCGCGCTCCTAGTGTACATTCGGGTGCAGATGGATACCTTGGAAACCGCACGACTCCCTGCGGCGCGGAACCAAATCAAATCTGACTAAAGGATGTGCGTCCCCACCCACGGAATGTCGAGAGGCGAGCAATTGCTGCTATGCCCAGGCTGCCTTCCACAACTGAATTCGTGCAATCTGAACCGCACGCCGCGACATGTACCCGGCGCTGCCATCGTCATGATTCGCCTCCGTACCTTCGGCGCGCTCCCGCGGAACGCAGCTATACATCACCACCATGCCTGGCCAGGGCCGTCTTGAGCCCTAGGGTGGCGCGCAACGCCCAAAGCGCAACCTGGGCCGTGTTCGAATGCCTGCTGAACTATCTGGTCGGGCCGGACAGGTAATCTACTCGGTGCGCGCGCGGTTCAGGAACCTCCCCGCCCACCTCAAACCAAACGAGCCCAAGCCGCTCCAAGAGAGCTCCAAGACGGCCTCGAATCGACCAGACGGCCCCTGTACCAGTCTGCAAAAGCCCCCGGATCCCTCGAACTGCTCAGAAATGTCCCTGGACAGCCTCATGAGGCCCCGAGAGGCCCACCACAACGCCGCCAGGCGGTGCCCAAAGGCGATGAGCAACGATCACGTGTTTCTGAATGGAGGGGAGAAGACATCATCGTGGTGCCCCTGTTGACAGGCCAGCTTCGTACTTGGTGTGCCAACTCTAGACCCAAGGCGGCCCCGAGAGGGAGGTCCTGGACGCGTCGAACTCCGCCTGCGCCTGCAGGAGCTCCTCGAGCTCGTCGTCCTTCCCGGGGCACCCAGCCGCTCGATCCCTTCACGACGCTTGCCCCCCCCCGCCACACTGGACACACGGGAAAAACAAACCCAATACTCCTGAGAATGCCCCCCGATGGATCATAAATTTCGGCACCCCGGGGGGATCCTACATTCTGAACCCGGCAACTCGCATGTACGGATGTGCGGTGGACGGATGTACGGTGTACGGAGTGTAGTAGTCGTCCTCGTCGTCGTCATCGTAGTAGTAGTAGTAGTAGTAGTAGTAGTAGTAGTAGTATCAGTAGTAGTAGTAGTAGTAGTAGTAGTAGTAGTAGTAGTAGTAGTAGTAGTAGTAGTAGTAGTAGTAGTAGTAGTAGTAGTAGTAGTAGTAGTAGTAGTAGTAGTAGTAGTAGTAGTAGTAGTAGTAGTAGTAGTAGTAGTAGTAGTAGTAGTAGTAGTAGTAGTAGTAGTAGTAGTAGTAGTAGTAGTCGTAGTAAAAGCAGTAGTAGAAACAGCAGCAGCAGCAGCAGTGGTAGCAGTAGTAGTGGTAGTAGAAGTAGTAGCCGTCGCCGTAGTAGTAGTAGTAGTAGTAGTCGTAGTAGTAGTAGTAGTAGTAGTAGTCGTAGTAGTAGTAGTAGTAGTAGTAGTAGTAGTGGAAGTAGAAGTAGTAGTAGTAGTCGTAGTAGTAGTAGTAATAGTAATAGTAGCAGTAGTAGTGGTAGCCATAGTAGCAGCATTAGTAGCAGTAGTCGCAGTAGTAGTAGTAGTAGTAGTAGTAGTAGTAGTAGTAGTAGTAGCAGCAGCAGTAGTAGTAGCAGTCATAGTCGCGTTCGTACTGGTAGTTGTACTAGTGGTAGTAGGCATACTGGTAGTAGT